GAGGTTAAGACCGAAGCTTTTTGTAATGCTAGTAGAAATGCAAGTGAATGAACCTCATCCCCTAGCGAGTGAAGTGCTTACACCCTTTTAGAGAGAGAGGCGAGCAAAATAGCTCGTTCTTCTTTTTTTAGATTTTTAGATTCTTAAGATCGTGATAAAGTCTCTTTACTTTTGATTTATTAGATTAGTAAAGCGCAATCGTCCTACAAGTAGTAGAGTATAGAATAACAACCAACTTCATAGCTTACCTTATTATTAAAGAAAGGGGCATGCTAGTGCTTTACTAGTAGAAAGGGGTTAAGAAGTTGTTCTTGCTGCTTGTTGTCCACTTCGCGAGCCTTCACTGTCCCGTTCTGTAATTTCCCTTCTTTCGTCCATCCACGAGGTCATTTCGGTTGTATGCCATGAGGTCCCTATGGACAAGAGGACAAGTGAATCATCAATTTTGGGCTCAGGCAGCCCAATACCATCTATCCCATTACATTCTATCGTCTCATATTGTATTGTACCGTATCAAACTAGATAAATCTATTGTTTAAGAGAAAGGGATCAAACTATAATTCTATATTTTTCATTTGGATATTGATAGGGATCCTCATTCATTCCTAGATTCCTAGAGCTATGGATTGATTGTCCTTACATAAACACAATACAGTGGTCTAGGGAGTGCAATTGCTAGAGCATAGGAGAATGAAGAGTAATGATTTCAGCAAGAACAACCGGACAGACTATTATAGTGAGTCTAGTGACTACCAGAGTAGAGTTAAGTTAAAAGGTATGATATAACATCCTTTTCGATCGAGCCTCTGGGATCTTCTGTAACTCCCATGATGTGGTAAAGAGAAGATATTAGGGGAAATAGTGAGTGGAGATTCCCCTACAGAGAGTCGGATGAGGGGAGACTTTCACGTCCTATTCGAAGGGCGGGGATACCCCAACCCTACTATCATTATNGAGATTCCCCTACAGAGAGTCGGATGAGGGGAGACTTTCACGTCCTATTCGAAGGGCGGGGATACCCCAACCCTACTATCATTATGCCTTCGCAATGTTACTTGGTTCAACTCTATTTGTGAACTTTTCACGTATGTGGGACTTTATCTTCTTAGGTAGGTAATCGATCGCCTNATGCCTTCGCAATGTTACTTGGTTCAACTCTATTTGTGAACTTTTCACGTATGTGGAACTTTATCTTCTTGGGTAGGTAATCGATCGCCTTTATTTGGATAGTGAGTTGTTTTTATAATAATAAGTCAAGTCAAGAATAATAATCGAATTGGAGGGGCTTGCCAAGATAGCTTGGTAAGCAAGTAAGAACTTATGTAGGCACCNATTTGGATAGTGAGTTGTTTTTATAATAATAAGTCAAGTCAAGAATAATAATCGAATTGGAGGGGCTTGCCAAGATAGCTTGGTAAGCAAGTAAGAACTTATGTAGGCACCAACTCCCAGTTCTCTCTTCTTTCCTTTTTACTTTAGTGACAATTCATCAAAAAAATTGTCCAAGATTTCTAGATCGAGCACGTGACGCGCATAGTCTTAAGTCCAAGAACGGGTTGTATCCTCTTCGACATTTCTACTATTTCTTTGTCTCCCCCTTTTTAGAGATCTCCTTGTTCTCTTCCCAGATTTGACTCCATACCTTCGCCAGCTTCTTCATCATCTTGTTACATCCTTCAAGGATGTTCGATAGGTGTGTAGGCCTCCTAAAAAATCCTTCTGACAAGAATGCTATTTGAACATTTTAAGACAAGAAACCGTCTCGCTCTTGTGAACACTGATCATAAGTGGCAAAAGACGTTAGAATGCTCATTTTTTGTCCATAAGCTCTCCTCGCTATAATTTTCTCTAGAAGTCACCCCTACAACCCCTTGACTCATGAGGGCTACGTTCAAACTAAATGAGAGTAAGGTTTTCCACCTTAGAAAATAGACTAACTACTAGGAAGGGGAAGGACCCTTGCCTAGCTAACGAAGTTCATGAGGAACCAACTTTAGTTAGTGAAGCAAGGCGTTAAACATCAAACCATATCTTATTGAATAATCTAACTAAATCGAGTGAGTTATAGAAAGATTATATCACAACTTGTGTTGTGGCGAGATGAAGGGACAGAAGTAGCCGGTTCCCTTGCTTGCTTACCGGACAAGAGGGATTAGACTTTAGACCACTAATGGACTATAACAAGCTGTNATTAAAAGACAGCAAGAAATAAGGGTGTCACCCTATGGGATGAGAAAAGAGGGGAGGGGAGAGAGAGAGAGAGACTTAGTATCATGCAATGGAAGTCCGCTTTCAACACAGCTGCAAGACACAACTAGAAAACTCTACAATAAGTCAGGGGTACAAAATAATCTTCAACATTCACATGGGAGGCCTTATTGCCCTTTATGCAAAACAAAGCATGAAATACTTGAGAACTCTCAGTAGGGTGAATTAGGAGTAGCATTCGTAATAATAACTAATTAGCGATGATTACAAAATAATAGTAATAAGAATAATAATTGTAGTAGTAATAACAATACTAATAAACAGTGAAATAAATCTAAGGCAATGATTAACGACTATTAATACCTTTCGTAGGTTGGTTTAAGTCATATTCGGGACACAACTTGCAACTGTTATGCATTGATTTAGTGTTGCTAATAGCAACCATTGCCTCCCCAACTGAAAACGTAATGCAAGTAGGTAATCATAACACATTTGCCTCAGCAAAGTGGTCAGAAGCTCTACAGAAACAAGCTATGAAAGTTGTTCAAAGAGAAAAATAAAATAGGAGAGAAAAAAATAATTATCTAGAACGGTATATCGCTTATGGTACTTTAATATTTTATAAGAATGCGGATTTATTTACGCAAAGGGTTTCTTAATCATAAGCCTAAGACATGNTGGGAGAGAGAGAGAGAGACTTAGTATCATGCAATGGAAGTCTGCTTTCAACACAGCTGCAAGATACAACTAGAAAACTCTACAATAAGTCAGGGGTACAAAAAAATCTTCAACATTCACATGGGAGACCTTATTGCCCTTTATGCAAAACACAGCATGAAATACTTGAGAACTGTCAGTAGGGTGAATTAGGAGTAGCATTCGTAATAATAACTAATTAGCGATGATTACAAAATAATAGTAATAAGAATAATAATTGTAGTAGTAATAACAATACTAATAAACAGTGAAATAAATCTAAGGCAATGATTAACGACTATTAATACCTTTCGTAGGTTGGTTTAAGTCATATTCGGGACACAACTTGCAACTGTTATGCATTGATTTAGTGTTGCTAATAGCAGCCATTGCCTCCCCAGCTGAAAATATAATGCAAGTTAGGTAATCATAACACATTTGCCTCAGCAAAGTGGTCAGAAGCTCTACAGAAACAGGCTATGAAAGTTGTTCAAAGAGAAAAAAAAAATAGGAGAGAAAAAAAAAAATTATCTAGAACGGTATATTGCTTATGGTACTTTAGTATTTTATAAGAATGCGGATTTATTTACGCAAAGGGTTTCTTAATCATAAGCCTAAGACATGATGATTCATTTTTTTGTATTCTAGAGAGAGAAGCTCTTACTTCTCTCTAGAATTTCTTTCTTCATGAGTATCAACCAACCTTATCTAGAACAACCAAAACCACCTGATCCACATGATAAACCAAAAACATACGCATCGATCGTTCAACAACCACATATTACATCTTTTTACAAGCCTATAGCAGATCGAAAACCCAAACTAATGAATGATTCAAAACCCAAAAAACCAATAAAAGCAGTTGTTGATAAAGGTCAGCATATAGTTTTCTGGTCTAAGGAGGAGATGATTGATCTTGAAAAGCCTTTTCAGCAATCTTTGATTGCAAAGTGCGCCTATGGAAGACCATCACTTGCAGTTATCGGAGAATTCATCAAGACCAAGTGGAGTATTAAGGGGGAGTTCTTTGTTGGACATCTGGATGCAAGGCATATAGTCACGAGATTCTCACTTTTTGAAGATTATGTGAAGGATTGGCTCAAGGATGTTACTTACATTGAAGGCCATATGTTTCGATTTTTGAAGTGGGTACCTGATTTTGTTCCTGGTATTGGGCCTTCTGTGGTGCCAATGTGGGTATCTTTGCCTTCATTGCCCATGTGCTTATTCACTAATAATTGTATCGCTGCAATTTTGAGCCCACTGGGAAGAATATTGGTCTTTGATAGGCCTACAATGAGCCTTACAAGACCTGCGGTTGCAAGAGCATGTGTGGAGATGGATGTAATGGAGGACAATTCGCAAAGAATATGGCTGGAATGGGTGGTTATAAGGGAAGATGGCAGAAGATTGTGTATGAGAAGGAAATCAAATATTGCTCTAATCGTTTCAAGCAAGGCCATATGGATTCTGAATGTAGAAAGAAGAAGCCTAATGGGCAAGATTGTAATGTAGATTTACAAGAGGAGGAAAGATTAAGAAAGGGTAAGGCAAAGGTTGGGGACGAAATTAAGGCATCAAAGCCTCAGTTTCAATCCAAGAACAGGACTGTTTTTTCAATGAGTAACCCATCTACATCGAAGGGGCAATGGAGGGTGTTGGATAATCAGCAATTAAAGAAGTCAAGTAAGGAGGTAGGTGTGAATATAGAAGTTTCTGAATAATATTCAACAGGCTGATCGGCATTTTGAAGATAATGCGTCCAAGGAAGATCCACCGGTACAGCGAAGAGAAGATTTCGAGCAAGTTGATGATTTAAATCATAATGCACGGGCTAAAACAGCGTCCCCTAAAAATCAGGGAGTTAATAGTCAGCCGCAGGATTTACAAGAAAAGATAGAGTCCTCCTTAGAATTCTAATGCAGCTGGTTCAGCAAAATTGGGTGTTCGTTCATCAATTCCATCCCATGTCGATAATGAGCAGATTGTTTCACCTCCGCAATGTCAACTAAACGGGCAATCTTCTCCTTCTTCATTGTACTCCACATTTTTGATTGATCATAATTATGTTGCGCGAAGACGTGCTGGTGTTCTCTTGGATGATGAAGGGATTGCTTAAAGACACAGATCCACCGGATAAGGGTTATGATTCGGAGAATGATGTATCTAAGAGCGCATATACTTTTGAGACTAATACTCTAAGTCCTGATATTGAGGTTCATTCCGTTGGTACTTGTTCAGATGTTCAGATTCCCCCCGGCTGTTCTTGCTAGAACAAAGTCTAGGAGTTTGGTTGTCCCCTCATCTTTTAAATGATAATTTCATATTGTGGAATATTAGAGGCGCTGCAAAGGATGTTACAAGAAGGCGCCTCAAAAATCTTATCAGATCGAAGGATGTTTGTTTGGTTTCACTTTTGGAGCCTAAGCGAAGTCCCTTGAAGTTGCCAGGATTATCTTCTGCACTTAATATGAATTCTTTTGTTGCAAACACTTGAAACATATGTAAGTGAAAAAATGGTACAAATTAAGTGTAAACTCTATGTATATATAGCTAATGAAAAATACAATAAGGGTAAAAAGGTCAAAAAAGAAAACTATAATAAATCCTAATAAACTAAGTTACAATATCTCCAACACTCCCTCTCAAGTTAGGCGCAAAAATGTCAACGGAGTCAAACTTGACAACAGAGTCCCGAAGAATGGATAGGGTGACAGGTTTGGTGAAAACATCTGCAACCTGATTACTGGTCCGATGAAGTGACAATACCACTGTTAACATTCTCCTAAAGAAAGTGAACATTGATCTCTATATGGTTCGTCCTCTCATGCAATACAGAGTCAGAAACGAGCTGAATAGTAAATCGATTATCAAAATATAATGTAGATGAAAAAGTCACTGAAAATCTCACCTCGCCAAGAATCGATCGTAACCAGATAATCTCACATGTGCCAAGTGTCAGTGCCCAATACTCTACCTCCGCTGACGAGCGGGTGACAACTAACTGCTTCTTGCTCTTCCAAGAGATAAGATGAGTCCTTCGAAAAGCATAGAAGCCCGTAGTAGATCGACCGTCACACGCTCCCCCATAATCTGAATATGAATAACAGGCTAGAGAACTAATCTGAGATCATGATGCATAGAACAATCCACGTTTAGGACAAAACTTGAGGTACCGAAGAATATGATAAATTGCATCAAGATGAGGTTGACATGGTTTGTGCATAAAATGACTAACACGGCTGACAGCGAATGAAATGCCTGATTTAGTGTTGACTAGATAGATAAGTCTAACTACCAACCTCTGATAGATAGTCGGATCTCTTAACTCCTTACCTTCAGCAGTAAGCTTCAGGTTTGAAATCACAGGTGATGATGTCGGTTTGCACCCTAGTATTCCAGTGTCTAAGAGAAGATCCAGAACATACTTTCTCTGAGAAAGAACAACACCCATGTTGCTACGGGCAACCTCAATCCCAAGAAAGTATTACAAAAATCCAAGGTCCTTCACATCAAAAGTCTTCTCAAGGTCTACCTTGACCTGCGCAGTCCCAGAAATATCATCTCCAGTAATAATAATATCATTAACATATACCAAAAGGATGACACACTATCCATAAAGTATTTTGTCGAATGAAGCAAGTATGATTAAAATGACATTTAGGGAACCCTAAACGTATAACTACATCACTAAAGCGAGAGAACCAATCTCGTGGTGACTATTTCAGTCCATAAAGAGACTTACACAGTTGACATACATTTCCAGCATATTCTCCCTCACCACGAAAGTCTGGTGGTGCTTCCGATCATCATAAAGAAATGCATTCTTCACATCCAACTGATGAAAAAACCAAGAGTACTCCGCAGTTAGACAAATAATCAATCGAATAGTAGTCAATTTTGTCACGGGGGCAAAGGTAGCACCAAAATCATGACATGGCACCTGAGTAATGCCCTTCACCACAAGCCTAGTCTTATGACGATCAATAGTACCATCCGCAAGAAACTTCAGGGTGTAAACCTAGCGACAGCCAACAGGTTTCACCCCTAAAAGTAATGAGACAAAATTCCACGTATGATTACGCTGAAGAGCGTCCATCTCTGCCTGCATGGCAAGAACCCACTAGGGCTCCCTCATAGCCTCTGAAATAGAGCGAGGAACCAGCGTATCTGATAAAGTCATACTATAAGCTCGAAATATATGAGACAAATCACCATAAGACACATAAGCAGAGATCGGATATAAAGTCCTGCCAGTCCAACCATAACGAACAACTGAACGACAATCACGCTGCGGATAACGACACCCTAAATCATCATCCTCCACTGACAATGTCTCATCAAGAAAAGTAACTGGCTTAGTACCTGCAATCTCATCAGTACTAACAACAGGTGCATTAATATGCTCAACGAACTGAGAATTATTACCAGCATCACCCGAGGTAGAAGGGATATCAGCAGAGGGATAAGAGCGAGGACGACGAACATAAACCTGCAAAGGAAGAGAGACTGGTGACTCTGTACTGACAGGGATGAGTGACTTTGGAGAAGGTGAGATTGATGACTTTGTACTGATAGTGACCAATGGCTCTAGCTCTTGCGGTAATAAAAAATTAAAGAGAGTATCATCAACCAGAGGGGCAGACACAAGACTGGAAGAAAAATAAGGAATGTGCTCAAGAAAGGTAACATCTAGACTGTGATACATACGACGCCTAATAGGATCATAACACCAATATCTCTTAGACTGATGACAATAGCCTACAAAGACACAACAAATCGTTTTATCATCAAGTTTATGGCGAGTAGGAGACTGATCTTGAACAAAACATGTGCAGCCAAAAACACAAAGGGGGACCGAAAAAAGTGTCCGCTCAAAAAATAAGACCTGTAAGGGAGCCCTATGCTGAAGAACAAGACTCGGTGTACGATTACACAAAAAGGTAGAAGTCAAAACAGTAAAATACAAATAAGATTTTGGTACCCCCATACCTCTAAGCATACAACGTACCATCCCTATTAAACTCGTATTTTTCCTTTCAGCATCTCCATTTTACTCAAGAGTATATGGACAAATGAGCTGCTGAAGGATACCTTGAGAGAAAAGGTGAGACACTAAGGCGTTAGACACATATTCTTTGACATTATCTGAACTAAGAACACGAACAATGACATCGAATTGTGTCTTAATCATCTGAAAAAACTGCGTGATGACAGAGAGTACATCAAACTTCATATGCAAAAGGTAGACTCAAGTACAACAAGTATGATCATCTATAAATGTCACATAGTATCGAGTACCTGACAGAGTAATGATAGGAAAGGGTTCCCAAATATCATAGTGTATTAGGTCAAATGGCTTAGGTGACTAGTGCATGCGAGAAATATAACTGGTCCGAACATGTTTCGAAAAGAACATATAACACAGTCAAGTTTACCACCAACATAAGCATTGCTCAAAGTAGGAAACAACATACACAAATATTTAAAATTTGTATGTCCAAAACGATCATGCCATTGAACAGTTTGTGATGAAAAATCATAACGACAAGTATTATGTAAGATATTAGCATGCAAGCTAGGAACAGACTGGAGGTGGATTGCCTAGATAATACAATTCATCAGTCTCATGTCTTTTGATAATAATCCTCTTGGGTGGTATTTGGATCAAAGGATTAAGGGGGATTGGATTATAATTGTGAATGGGTCCACTTATCCCTGGTTTGGGTAATTTTTTGGCATGGGATTGGATTGGGTTTTGAATTCCTCGGGCCGTAGGTTTTGAAGCATTCAATCCCCTCTGCAGGCCATTGAACAATCCCTTCTGCTGTGTGGGATTCAAAATTGTGAAGTGAGATTACATATGAAAAATCAAAAATACCCTCCACGGTAAATCCTTACCTCTGTGTATCGATTTGTCTATGTCTTCTTCTCCGTTCTTCATTTGGTTGAACTTTGAAGCTTCACATGGGCTCTGATTTTTTCATGGAAGTATTAGATCTGTGCATAGTTTCACTGCACAGATCTAGATAAATTTTTGGTCTGCAACCTCCATTTGTTTGAGAAAAAGATAGAGATGATCTGCACGTAACCCATCTCGATTTGTTTGGAAAGATAGAGATGGAAGAAGATAAATTTTTTCAGAAGTTTTTTTCTCTCTCTCTGTTTATGACTTCTATTTTTTTGGTCAAGCTCTTTGTTTGTGACTGAAGCCGAAGCATCCGGAGAAGATGAGCAATTAACCACATTAAAATCCACTTTATACCCCCTGAATTTGATTTTTTTGCACTTTACCCCTTATGATCATAAATTAGCAAATAACTCTTAGGTTTTTTTGCACTTTATACCCTAATGTTATGTTCATCCATTTGTTTCCTTATAGAAGAACTCTAAAAAAATTAACATTTTAATTAAAACAACATATTTTAAATTGATCTGATTTGTGCTATTAATTCAAGCAATAATATTAAAATGCCCTAAAATTCATGAAAAATAAATTGGATTTAGGTCATTGAAAATTTTTTGGATTCAGTTCGAATTAATTATGCTAGTTATTGAAAAAAATAATTTGTGATTAATAGTGACTTGTACAAATTAAATTAAATAAATGAACAAAATATTTATTGCAATCTTTTGTAAAATGCGTAAGGTATTGATTCATATTTTTTTTTCGTAAATAAAACAATACTAATGGATTTGACTTTTTTTTCATTCCATAACAAACATAGTATAGGATTGGATAATATTTTTTTATACAAGGGTGAAATGGTCATTTTAGTATGTTATATCATCAATTGTGAATGGAGCCCACAAACCAAATGAAACCTATCCAAAGATGGGATAGAATTCAAATCCTATTCTTATAATCCTCTAATCCGGACCACTTTGCATTGGGTAGGATTAGGTTCGGATTAAAATCTAATCCAATTCAATCCAATCCTCCCACGGTGATCCAAACACCACCTTGGTACTCAGGTCCTGCAAATAACACGAATCAGATAAAAATTTCTAGCTAACTGATTTACGGATAATATATTCATGGCCAGTTTTGGTGCATGAAAAACTGAATGTAATGTAAAGCCATTTGGGAGGCGGACTGTACCCCTACCAATAATAGGGGCATGTGTCTCATCTGCTAGCTGAACTTGTGTATGTAACTGCTCATCAAAAGTGATGAAATAATGGGTCTCACTTGTCATATAACCATTTGCACCCGAGTCCAACATCCAAAGAGGAGACGGACTGGCGCAAGCATAAAAGGCACGAGGTATACCAGTAGTGGTGGCAGTAACAGTAGTCGGACTCTGAGAAGTTAGGACAGACATAAGTATATCCAATCGAAAAATGATGACATCCATATCACTCTGTCAAGGAGGAGCAACAACAGGAACAACGACAGTAGGTGGTGGTACCTCAACAATAGCAGCAGTACGGCTATGAGGAGGTGGTTTTAACTCCAAATAGAGCTTCCAGCAAGTAGTCCAGAGATGGCCTGGTCGACCACAATAATCACACCGACGNACAGTACGGCTGTGATGAGGTGGTTTAAACTCCAAATAGAGCTACCAGCAAGTAGTCCAGAGATGACCTGGTCGACCACAATAATCACACCGACGAGAACCAGAAGGTACATTCTAGATGAAAGTACTAACAACAGAGGTCTCAAGAGTAGAGGTCTCAAATCTCTCAGTAGTAGTCATAACAATAACAATACGTGGGCACCCGTAACAGAAAAATTTTTTAAGATAAATAGAGGGACAAAATAAGGGAGAATAATATATCTGCAGTCGAACAATAATAACAGATAAAGAAGGTCTAGAAAGCTCCCAAATAATCAGATCACGGTGCCCAGATATCCAATAAAGGTAAATAAATGATCTACTGCATCAAAAGCAGGTCACCGAAGAAGAGGTGTGAGGCAAGGGGATCTATTGTCCCCAAGCCTCTTCATTCTAGCTGAAGAGGTAATGAGTAGGGGAATAAATCTATGTATCAAAGGGGGCTGGTAAAGCATTTTCACACTGGAAGAGGAGCTTTTATGTTAAGCCATTTATTGTTTGCTGACGACACATTGGTGTTCTTGAGAGGAGACAAGCATTCTATGGTGAATTTGCTTTCTTTTATTTCAAATTATGAGGCCGCTTCTAGGCAAAAAGTGAATTTGATTAAGAGTTCAATGTTTTGCTCATCTCATATATCTCGTGCAAGGAGAGGTGTATTGCATCATGCTTCTCAAATTCCAATTAGAGATTGTCTGTTCACATATTTAGGTTGTCCAATAATTAAGGGCAGGCCTAAGTTAATTTACTATGAGGACTTGTTGCAAAAGTTTAGAGCAAGACTAGAGGGGTGGTATGCTAAGATGTTGTCCAACATGGGTAGAATAGTATTGGTGCAGTAAGTTCTAAGTGCTATACCTGTCCATCTTCTTGCATGTATGAATCTTCCAAAAGGCATTATAGCTAGAATGAACTCAATTATGGTAGCATTTATTTGGTTGGGTAAAACTTCGATCAAGAAGAGGCATTGGTGTTCTTGGGCAAATGTTACTGTCCCAAAGGATGAGGGTGGTCTTGGGTTGAGGAAATTTGAGGATATTGCTAAAGCATTTTGGATGAAACAAGTTTGGAATTTGTTGCATGGCTCTACTCTTTGGACCAGGCTCTTCTCTGTCAAGTACTTAAACCAACAACATGTTCTAAAAAGCTTAAGGAATTCGTATTCCAGGAGTTATAGAACCTTGTCTCTATGGTTTGAGCAGGTGGTATCGCATACTCAAATGATCATTTGGAATGGAGTTGTTGCTGACTTTTGGTGTGACAATTGGACAAGTAATGGTTCTTTAATTGATGTCTATGTTAATGGTCAATGGGATTTTTCTATATGCCCTGAACTTTCTGAGCAGTTAATTGAAGAGATAACTTCTTTGCANATGCGGGTTGAGCACTTTCCTGAAAATTTACCAAAGTTGCAGGATGTCTATGTTAATGGTCAATGGGATTTTTCTATATGCCCTGAACTTTCTGAGCAGTTAATTGAAGAGATAACTTCTTTGCAGATTTCTTACATTGATAAGCAGGACTTTCTGGTATGGACACCATCTGAAACAGGTGATTTTTCGATTAAGTCAGCTTGATCCATTGTTAGACAACATCTTGAAAAGGATTCGACAGCAGAATTTATTTGGAAGCAGCAAATTTCGCCAACAGCTCAGCTTATAGGTTGGAAAATTTTGAAGAATGCTCTTCCTGCCAATTCGACTTTCATGTCCATTGGTCTTTCTATTGCGAGTAGATGTTCCCTGTGTATGTCCCATTCTGAAACTGTTGATCATTTATTTGTTCATTGTTCATACGCTCAAACTGTTTGGTTTGCTATTTTGGCTTTTTTGGGTTTTAGCTTGATCTTGGGTGAAGAACCTTTAACAACATTCAAAAGGTTGGCAAGGATTTATAGAAAGCATTTAGTTAGTCATGGGATGCTCAGGGGTGTTTCTTTGATTATATTTTGTCAATTATGGAAGGAAAGATGTCAAAGATTGTTTGAAGAAGAGAAGTTGCATTATGCTGCTATGATCATTCGAATTCAGCAGCTTTTAGTCTATCAGAGGTATGGTTTCAAGTACCAGAATCAAGGCAAGGGANTATTCTGCTGCTATGATCATTCGAATTAAGCAGCTTTTAGTCTATCAGAGGTATGGTTTCAAGTACCAGAATCAAGGCAAGGGAGAGAGTTAATGTCCTCTCTAAATATTAAGCTCTCAATGTTTAGGACATGAGTAATCTGGGTGGCTTGGTCTTTTCCGCCAGATGGTGTATTGAAACTAAACGTGGATGGAGCTGCGAAAGGCAATCCGGGGTGTTCAGGTGGTGGAGTTGTGCTAGGAAATCAGAGAGGGCAGCTGGTTTTAGCAGCTTCGAAATTTTATGGGATGTGCACGAACATGGTAGCTGAAATTAGAGAATTGGTGGATGGGTTACAGCTATATCATAAATTTTGTTTGTCTCCTTATCGTTTAATCATTGAGACAGACTCTTTGATTCTTGTTAATATGGTTAAGGGTAGGTGTGATTGCACTTGGAGGTATCAGTCTTTTATTTATCAGCTGCAACAGCTTCTGAGTCCTTTAAATTTTGAAATCCATCTTATTTATCGAGAGGCAAATTCGGTTGCTGATTTTCTTGCAAATCAAGGAGTTCATGATCGCGCAGATAAGCAGTTTACTTCGGTTGATCAGCTTCCAGCTGAGGGGAGGAATCTTCTTTTACAAGATCAGCTTCAGCTCAGGGTTCTTCGCAGAAAATACCATGATGCTTTTTCGACTATTCTTTGATGGTCTGCAGCTGGATTGTCGCTGGATACGTTGTGGCAGCTATTCATGTCACCGTTTATTCAGTGATGATGGTTCAGCTGAGTTTTGTTTCAGCGACATCTCACAGCTGGGCTGTTCAGCTGGACTGTTCAGCTGCATTATTCAGCTGGACTGTTCAGTTGGACTGCTATTGCAGCTGGACTGTTCAGTTGGACAGCTTTGCAGCTGGACCGTTATCTTTCTGGTTGGTATTCAGGTGTTAAGCAGCTGCTGGTTTGGAGATTATCAGCACGTTTCTGGCAGCATTAACTGTTCATGTTTGCTGATTTTTGTTCTCCTTCAGCTGAATTCTTTTGGCAGGAGTCTTTCAGGACTCTCTATGTTACTGAGCGGGACTTCTATTTTAGTTAGGGATTATCAGCAGAGCTGCACAGATGTCTTTTTATCTTCGGCAGCACTGTTCACGTTACTGTTCCATACAGCTGGTGCTTCGGCTGGTCTTATCTTTTACAAGACTCCAAAGTCNTGGCAGGAGTCTTTCAGGACTCTCTATGTTACTCAGCGACGGGACTTCTATTTTAATTAGGGATTATCAGCAGAGCTGCACAGATGTCTTTTTATCTTCGGCAGCACTGTTCACGTTACTGTTCCATACAGCTGGTGCTTCGGCTGGTCTTATCTTTTACAAGACTCCAAAGTCAGCTGGTTGCTTTTTAAATTTCGGGCTAATTTCGTCGGTTATCCCGTTGGAGTTTCTGCTTATCTCTTCTATTGCCTCTCCTCTTAGATGGACTTTATTTAGCTGGTCTTTTATATCAGCTAGATTTTTTTCAAATTCTGGGAGCAAGATCTTATCAACTGGACTTCAAGAGTCAGCGAAGGAGTGCAGTTATCATTATTAACTGAACTCTTTTGAATTCTCAGGCAGTAAGACTTTGAGGATTTGAGGAGACTTCTTAGCTTGGGAANGGTCGGTTATCCCGTTGGATTTTTTGCTTATCTCTATTGCCTCTCCTCTTAGATGGACTTTATTTAGCTGGTCTTTTATATCAGTTAGATTTTTTTCAAATTCTGGGAGCAAGATCTTATCAACTGGACTTCAAAAGTCAGCGAAGGAGTGCAGTTATCATTATTAACTGAACTCTTTGAATTCTCAGGCAGTAAGACTTTGAGGATTTGAGGAGACTTCTTAGCTTGGGAATTTTATCACTCACCAAATTTCAAAATTTCAAGTTACTTAAGAGACTTAAGAATTTAATTATTTTATTTTCTTTATTTTAAAATGCATTATGATGTAATTGCATGCATTCTTTTAGATTTTATTTATTTTACTCATAATGTATTAGGTGCATATTGAGGTAAGAAACAAACGTTCTCCTTGCTAAGTGTAATTTCTTTTGAAAATTAATAAATTTTCTCGTATCGTCCAAGTTCTGTTAAANATTTTCTTTATTTTAAAATGCATTATGATGTAATTGCATGCAGTCTTTTAGATTTTATTTATTTTACTCATAATGTATTAGGTGCATATTGAGGTAAGAAACAAACGTTCTCCTTGCTAAGTGTAATTTCTTTTGAAAATTAATAAATTTTCTCGTATCGTCCAAGTTCTGTTAAAAAAAAAAATTAATCATAGGCCTAAGAAATAATATAGAACGGTAGTTTGAGGGAAATCAAGTTGTTAAAAAATGTATTTTAATTAAATAATATTTTAACTCTTTTTTTTGGGGGGTTGGTTTATTGCCTTTTTTTATTTGTAGATGAAAAGAATGCAAATAATTCACAAGAATGACACAACCTTAACCCAAAAGAAGTATTTGACCCTTTGATAGCTCAAAGGGACACATTTTTAACTAAACTATTCACACTACTAGATCTCTCTCAAAATCATTTGTGATGGTCTTATCTTCATCTTTTAATTTATTTTTTTTGGTAACGAGGAACCTTTTAAAATAACATTATATTAGATTCATAATATATATATATATATATACTAGTAATTGTCCGTGTCTGAAGGTACAGAGTAACCAAAAAAAATTATGGTCAATTAAAAGGCATACCAAATCAAAATAATTGGTGTAACACATAAAACTAATTGTTCAACAATACTACTACGAACAATATATTACATATAGTTATGACTATATACGTGAATATCAAACCAAAATAATTGGTTTAACACATAAAATCTCAGTAGTTAATATAAACTAACTTTTATCTTTAAAAAAATTTCGATATAGTTCTCTTTGAAAACATGATCTAATTGACAATATCACATGTGTGTACAACTCATAATCAAACCTTTCTGTAAATAAACACTACCTTAAATCAATAATCTTGTCACATCATGTTAATATCGCTATTACCATAGTTTATCAACTGCTGTAATTTAATAATCCAAAACATCTAATACAATGGTTTATGTCATGATTAGTATATGTGTTCCTAGATCTCTTGTTTGGGCTCATCATATGTTTACTGTGGGCTTAGACGTTGATACCCGTGCATACTTCACCGCAGCTACCATGATCATAGCTGTCCCCACTGGAATCAAAATATTTAATTGGATTGTTACCATGTGGGGGGGTTCGATACAATACAAAACACCCATGTTATTTGTTGTAGGGTTCATCTTTTTGTTTACCATAGGAGGACTCATTGGAATAGTTCTGGCAAATTCTGGGCTAGACATTGCTCTACATGATACTTATTATGTGGTTGCACATTTCCATTATGTACTTTCTATGGGAGCCGTTTTTGCTTTATTTGCAGGATTTCACTATTGGGTAGGTAAAATCTTTGGTCGGACATACCCTGAAACTTTAGGTCAAATCCATTTTTGGATCACTTTTTTCGGGGTGAATCTGACCTTCTTTCCCATGCATTTCTTAGGGCTTTCGGGTATGCCACGTCGCATTCCAGATTATCCAGATGCTTACGCTGGATGGAATGCCCTTAGCAGTTCTGGCTCTTATATATCCGTAGTTGGGATTTGTCGTTTCTTCGTGGTCGTAACAATCACTTCAAGCAGTGGAAAGAACAAAAGATGTGCTCCAAGTCCTTGGGCTGTTGAACAGAATCCAACCACACCGGAATGGATGGTACAAAGTCCTCCAGCTTTTCATACTTTTGAAGAACTTCCAGCTATCAAGGAGACGAAAAGCTATGTGAAGTAAAAGAAGAAAAGGTCGCCGATTGCTACTAAGAACCTAACAGAACTTTTTGAAATGTGGGTTTTAAAACCACTTGTGTAGGTCGGGGTTGAGAATTGGGGGGCCTCGCCCTAGCCTCGTCGGCCTAAGCCTCGCTATGAGAACTGACGCTTTCTAACTCTCTATGAAGAGCTCCGCCCCTACTTCAATTAAAGCTCGCGACTACTCATTCTTAGGCGGACCAACCTAAGCTCTTGCCTTACCTTTGCTTCTGCAAAAGACCCGAAGAGGACTTCAACCGAAACAATTCACTTTCCATCGTCCCCAGCGATCTATTTATAGTGGGCTGATGGTGGAAAGTCAAAAAGTCATAAAAACCATAAAGAAAGCCATCTGAACTCGTGCTGATTCTGCATGCAAGCTGAACGAGAGACAACTTGAACGATTCTGCCGCCAAACTGACCACCTTGGAAATGGGAAAAGACTCCCAAAAGTCGGCTTTGACGGCGCCTCAACGAGAGACCTTACCTTCATAAAGACTGAAACCGATCCGCCAATAAATAACCTAAGGATGACAAAGGGCTCGCCGAAGAANTTTCCATTATGTACTTTCTATGGTAGCCATTTTTGTTTTATTTGCAGGATTTCACTATTGGGTAGGTAAACAAAATGAATAAGATACAAATTATAAACTAAACTAACACTAAATTGAGGCTAATATTAATAATTAAATACATTCACTCATCCCGTAGAAGTCAAATAACCTGTAAAATTAATATATTGTGCCTCCTAATTAGTTGTCATGTCTAAAGGTACTTTATAATCCAAAAAAAATCATTAATTAATTGAGAAGATTGATTTTCAATTTGGAAAGTTTGAAATCACCTTTATCTTATTAGTATAAATGAGATAGAGAAAGAAAGGAAGTTAAATAAGAGATAGGAGTCTTAAAATTTTTTGGCATAAGGACCGTTGGATTAATAATTGCCAAGAGATCTGAACCGCGAAAAGTTAAAGAAAGAGAGAGAGAGGAGATGAAATAGTGCGTTTAAAACTTCTAAGAGATAAGAGAGAGAGTTATATGAGAAATAAGAGTGTTAGAGTTAAGTTCAATTATGATTGTCAGATCAGTATTTATGAGATGATCTGAACCGTATTTTATGTTGAAATTACGTTGTCTGTTGGATGTGTTTATATTTTATTTCAAAATAATCTGAACTTTTCTTTGTCTCTAAATTCAAACTCAGCTCTACTCTATTATATAGATAAAATAAATTTCGAATATCTCCAATCACCTGCTAATTATATGCATCAATTAAAATTGAGAGTCACTAGTGTAATTCTCTCTCAATCCTTTATTTTCCTTAATTTCTCTATGGCTAAAAACATTCCCAAAGTGCATCTTTTCCCCTTCATTCATTTATTAAAATTATTGCTTTGGTACAATTTTTTAACTTTCGGGGATTAATTTTACTGTTCTTGATAGAATATAATGAAAAAATATAATTTATATATTTGATTCCAAATAATTAGCAAATATATATTTTTTTTAGGTAGGTTAACTTGACTTGAGTTGAAGATAAATTTTACTTGCCATCGGATGTACAACATATGTTAGCGAAAATGTTTATTTTACCGTTGCTTTAGAATTAAAAAAAAAAAAAAAAGGGAAATTATTAATTGCATGTGGTGAGGACAAAAACTTTACACGCTTAGAATTCGGGTCGCTCCGGGTTCAAGGAATGATGGACCCAAGCCTCAAAGATCGCTCAAAAAACTCAATATTATGGAAACTATCCTATTTCGAAATTAGAGGGAAGTGAGTGAGAGTGACGGTGAAAGCAGAAGAGAGAGCGCCGGTGAGAGAGACGGAGAGAGAGAGGAAGCAGAAGAGAGATGCTATGNGAGGTAGGTTAACTTGACTTGAGTTGAAGATAAATTTTACTTGCCATCGGATGTACAACATATGTTAGCGAAAATGTTTTATTTTACCGTTGCTTTAGAATTAAAAAAAAAAAAGGGATAAAAAGGGAAATTGTTTAATTGCATGTGGTGAGGACAAAAACTTTACGCGCTTAGAATTCGGGTCGCTCCGGGTTCAAGGAATGATGGACCAAAGCCTCAAAGATCGCTCAAAAAACTCAATATTATGGAAACTTTCCTATTTCGAAATTAGAGGGAACTGAGTGAGAGTGACGGTGAAAGCAGAGGAGAGAGCGCCGGTGAGAGAGACGGAGAGAGAGAGGAAGCAGAAGAGAGATGCTATGACGAACCTCTCAAGTCTAGTCCACGAGCTTCGTGAACGCATCGCTGCTTCATCATCAACGTCTCCGACGAATAGAGAGGACGATGCACTGGAGGTCAAATTTCGCACTGTTCTTCCCAATCTTCTCGACACCTACGTCGTCGCTTCTTCATCAGGTCCCTTTCTTTCTTTGTTCTCTCTGTAAAATTTATGTTCAATCAACATTATGATGATAGAACACTATAATCTCTTTTTCTCGTTTTTCCTCTATTTTGCAGCCAATGAGAGAGAAGTTAAGGCGATATTAAGGCTTTTGACTCACACAGCGAAGTTCTTTCCTGGAGTTTTCTACCATGGCAAGGCCACTGCAGTCATACCTATAATCGGTCGCATATTACCGTTCTTTGCCGAACCTGCATTCCTGTGAGTCATTCTCTGGAAGTTGTTTTGGTGACTTGTGAAATTGTATGATTTTTCAATTGGTTATGTGAAAGTCCGATGTCTTTTGAAAAAAGATTCTTTCATCGTTTGGAGATTTTTAAATTCTAATATATTTTGACGCATGTGAAACTTTACAGGTACTGTGTAATTAGGTTTTTAATTTAGATTTACTAATTTTATTATTAGAAGTTATTTAATATCTGTGATCAAAGAATCTTGCGTAGCAACACTTCTGCTGAGCGAAAAAGGATATAGTGGACTTTTTTATTTTATTTTATATTTTTTAATATTTTTGATCTCTTGATTCATAAATTTCTTAGGACCTTTTTGTGTGTTATATCTAATAATGAACATTATGAAAGATTAAAGACTATTTAAACTGGAGAACTCAGACGAAGATGATCAAAGCATTGGTACAGAATATCCTTCTATCTCTCTGTCAACTGTTACATTGTTATCCTATATATTCAGATGCAAAACTGTCTAGATTGTTATCCTTTTTTTTTTTTTTTGAACTGGCCATAATTGGAACATAGTTGATTGAATTGGAGTCTTTGCTTAACACAGTTTACAATATGAGTTTTTAGTAAATTATAAGTCAATGGTTGTTGAGTTTCTCGGGGAAGAAAAAAGAGGACCTGAATGTGCTGGAAATTTATGAAAAAGTTGAAGAGCTTTTACTAACTTCTAAGAAAGAATGGAAAACCTTTGGCGGTTGTTTCTGGTACATATTTTAGGGGATTTTCTTTTCCTTTTTTTACGTCACTTGAGGGAATATTCCTATAAATATATTAAAAAATTTGAGTGAATAATACATATTCTTAAAGTTGCTAGATGTCATCACATATCTTAAAATTGAGGTCAATCATGACTTTACCAATAATTGGCTAATTTTGTATGAAATTGGCTTTGTTCATAGCAAAAGAGTCATGTAAGATAACACATATGGTGTGTTTAAGACAGTCGAATATCTTCTGATTTCATTTGTCACAATGTTCAAGAAGTTACTATATACACTTAACTCTGCCAGCATCTTTACGCATGCCCAACCCGTTACATAATCCTAAATCCAGTAATGTAAATTTTTTCTTCACTAAAGCTATGTGAACCTTATGTGGAAAATGCTATTACTTGGAGAAATGGTTTTCCATAGTGTTTTATATCAATATGCACAATATTCAGACCATGAATGGGAAGTTATGCATGCTATGCTGTCAATCATCACCTCTTGATATTGTTGATATTCTTTGTCTTTTTATTTATGGTTTCATATGTTCCTATTTCTTCAATCCTTTCCTTCTCAACATACATGCTCACACATCTTAACTTTGCTTTTTTTTTAAATCCATCTGTCGGGATTTTGATTTTTTTATCTCAGCTCTATACATGGAGTGATTTTTGAAACAATCAGAGCCCTTTTATCCTTGCTCCGAACAGGAGATCGAGATGCCTATCGTCAGTTCTTTATGGATTGCATGTTGGTTGTTGAAGGTACCACTTAGTCATTCTTTTTGTTTTGGCTTGGTTATTTTTATTTCCCTTCTGGTTCTAAAAAAATCATTTTGCAGAGAAGTGGGTTCTTCATTCATTTCTTATTTGTTTTCATTGCAATAGTGTGGCCCTGGCTTTTGCTTTCTCATCATGGTTGGTTCTTATTTTATTTTTGGGTGTGTTACCTGGGTATCTGTCTTAATAATATATCTCATAGGCATGGTTTGAAGAATCCAAAAAAGTTAACTTGCTTTTGTCTTTCACGCAGATCTTTTGAATGTGGCTTCCTGTTGTCACAAGGTAAGCACTAGGGAATCAAGCAAAGTATCATTGAAGTGTTTCTGTGAGTCCTTTGCTGGACTTTCTAGTGATCCTGGCGTTAGTGATCTCCCAGCATGCAACAGACCTGGCTATGGCTACGGTATTTTGATCAACCTCACAAGCAAACAAAGGTGGCAGCCTTTTGCTACTTGGGTTATTAAGCTTCTCTCTAAGTGCTTAATTGAAGGGACTCTATATGTTGAAGGACTAATCAATGCTTCATCTGTTTTGGCTGCATGCACTCTGTTGTGCTATGGAGATGCTGATTTGCATATGGTTGGTTGATTACAAGCTGGCACAATTCCTTCCAAACTTTTGGTTTATTTTATTTGAAAATAATTTTTTTTTTAAATTCATGATTTTATTTTGGTTTTCTGACAAATTAAATTTTATGGGAAGGCATGTTTTGATTTTGCAAGCATCATTGGAGCGGACCAAGCAGTCATGAATTATGAAATAGTTCCTAGTGGAAAATTGATTCAGTCGATATCCACTATACTAAGTGAAGATAAGGACGGACTTCCAGTTTTCAGGTATGTCCTTAGATGATTGGAAATTACCGTTGTCAGTTGGTAGCTATTTTTGTCAATGTTATAATTTTGCTTTTCATGGGACATATCATATTTCCTCACTTTACCTATAGTTTTGGTAGATTTCTTTAGCTTCTGGAAGTTCATTTTATTTATACTACTACATTCACTCGTATTGTGAGGATGATAGTCAAAGCACGGCGTACACATTTTTTTTTGGAAGTAACTTTTTTTTTTTTTCTTTCTTCTATGTTTTGGATCATCCTAAATATCTTTAAGAATTGGCAAGGGTTCTGGCTTGGTGCATTCCATTATCAAGTAAGAATGCAAAACTCATGTGAACTTGATACTTCCAGGCCATCTGAGGGGTGGCCTTTACATGTGGGATTGAAGAAGTTAGAAGTTAAAATTGAAATAAAGCTGGGGTTAGCCAGGGCTTTCTTACTTGGGTCCTAAAAGTTGAGACAGACATGTATTTTGTTTTGATTGTTAACCTTTTCAGGTAGGGATAGAAAAATATGGGTCTATGGAAAGGCCACTCACCTGTCATCTAAGTTTGATCCCAAAGTGGACAAAAAGATAAGAACATTGTATTAGTGGAGTTGAGATTGTTAGAACTTATGCCCTGCAATTGGTTTTTACGGTATTCATCAGAAATCGACAATTGCTTTGTTAAACCAACTATTCCTTTCAACTTCTTGTTTCCATTATGCCACAACAAACCATCCTAGTCTATAAAGCATGCTTCTAGATTTTTTTTGATGTTTAGATTGCACTAATAATTTTGTCTACTTTACAGTGCTCATATAAGGTTTTAAGAAACAAACTGACACCACTGGTAACAATCTATCATTATAACTGATTGTCTTCAATTCCAATGCAACTCTTTCATTTGCTCTTTCCCTGACTATGGTAAAACTAAATGTTTGATGCATTCATATTTCAGTCCTTGTGCATTTCACGTTATATTGACCTAAATTCGTCCCCTGACCTCCTGCCTTCTAAACTAATGGTGGGTGGCTCCATTATTGTTAGTGGTCCCCACCTGTGAAAAAGGTTATTGAATGCCGTTGTTGTCCGGCAGCTTTAGTTTCCTCTTAAATGAAACTCTAGGTATCAAAATTGACCTTGTTTGCACCTTTTCTCTTAAGTTGCTAATGCAAGCCTTAAATTGCAGAAATACGACTTATGATTCATCCATGGGTAGATGCCTTCATGTCCTGCACTCCGGTTGTCTTGATGGTGTGGTCAAGTTGACAGCTGCAGATTTAGTTAATGTCTTTCCTCGGGCAATACAAAAAACAAAAAGTACAGAACTTAAGGTTATTTTGATCCATATTCTTAATTTGTGCTGAACCTTGTTTATGGCATCCATTTGAATAATCTGATGTGCCAGAAATATTGATTGAATTTTTCAGTGGAGATATGCCATTTTCAAGTTGTTTTTCTCCTTTTCAGGCTGCATTGTGCAGTGCATACGTTCGAATTGCTAAAAGTTGTCCCCTACATATCTGGAGGCCAGACTCTCTTATATTTATGCTTTGTTCCTCCAAAACCTTCCTCCCATTGATAGATTGCTTTCAAGTAGCTCTATCTATACTTGGTCCTGATCTTATAGGAGAAGGGATTGCCAATGATGGAAATACGGGTTTATCAATCTCAAGAGAAATTGGTTATGACAGCTTTGGAGTTGGAGAGAAAAGACCAGTTCAGGACGCAGACACTTTCAAGATAAAGCGGCAGAAGGTCGATGAAAAATCTATGGATTCTAAATCCAATCCTGAGGATGTGAACAGGTTTAATTATAGATTTACTTGTGAAGGGAATAAAGAATATGTTGATTATATGCGCACATCCCTTCATTTGTTTGTTGAACTTCTGAAACCTCCCGGTGACAAATATAATTCATTAGCGCCAGAAGTGGCCTTATCAGCTCTTAGCACGCTCTGCATTGTTTTTTGTGAACACCCATTTACAAATCTATCACTTTGTATCCGCCGGCAGATGTGTGAGTGGATTCCCTGGATATGTGAGCAGGTTGGATTGTTATTTTTGTACTGCTTATTGACTTACTCTTTCTTCCCTGCATAATTGAGGAATATATTTTGCAGGCAAAGCAAGGAATTTCAATCACAGTTGATCTTTGCATCTTTCTAGAAGCAATGCATACTGCATTGCTCGTGGAAAGTAAGCCGACCCACCTGGTCTTCATCATAAGATATCATCAAGTTTTTGTTTTGTAAATAGCTGACATACATCTAGGAAATGGTTATCATGTCTCATGCTGTTTGTTATGTATCCTGCAGTCTTTCTGTATGAATGTGTATTTCCTTCTATAATTTCTGGGTACTGCTCTCCAGTACCGGCTGGTTGTATAGCTGTTTTGATATGGGAAAGTCATATGCTTTTTAATTTGGAAGTTAGTGCAAATAAATATTAGATTCTTGCACTAAATATTAGATTCTTGCACTAATTATTAGATTCTTTTACTAATTATTAGATTCTTTTTTCCTCGTACGGCCGAAAGAATCTCCTTTCTCTAATTTTTCTTTTTTCATTTTAGGAAGTATCCATGAGACTTTTAGTTTATTCTCTATTCGTTTGTTAGATGTATAATTTGTTCTGTTATTCCATTGATCATGACTTGTGCGAACTGCATCCTCCATTTAGGCTTCCTTCCCCAGGAGAGTAAGCTTTTCAGAAGTAAGGATGATGGTGCAGATCTCATGCAGCTGGTGCTAAAGCTTCCGTGGACCCATTCTCTTGTACTTTCTGAACCCCATCCACCATGGAAAGCAAAATGTCTCTCTGTCCAAGTTTTGTCCAAGATTGGACCTATATCACCAAGTGGAAGTGTTCTTGAAGTTCTGGATCTAGGTCTTCATGATGAAGCAGAAGAAGTCAGAATTGAAGCTGTGATTTCTATGCCTGTGCTTGTCTTGTGGTCTGATTTTGGTATGCTGCCACAAATGTTCAAAAGGCTGGAGTAAGTGACTTATAAATTTCTGTCACATATGTACAGGAATTAACGTACACACGTATATAATTGGCATTGTGATTTCACTCGTAGATGGTTTGGGCCTAATATTAGAATTCTTCATTCACAAAGCATACATGGAAATCATGTGAGTAGTACTTCTGTTTTCTATTTATTTCATCCCATTTTTTTTTTGTGTGGTCTCAACTCTCATTTAAAGGACAATTGTAGAATGTGTTTTCTGTGATTAACCAGTAATTGTTGGGACAAGGCTGTGTGGAATGCGTTACAGTATTGTTCTTGTTCCTTAAAGACTTCTTATACTTTTATTTTGTCTTTTCATCTCGGGGAAAGGGATTGGCATTTAAGTTTTTGCTACTTTTTTCGCTTCATCTTGGGGAAAATGGAGGCTAATAAACCAGCATTATTATAATTACATGCTGACATACGAGAATTTCATAGATGTCTTAGTGGGAGATGCAATAGCAACCACTATCGCTAGACTTCTTAGCCATGCCACTGCATGGATTATAAATGTTGGAATTACTAGTTGCTGCCAAACGTTCTCTCACAGAGATTAGCTTGTTTGACCGGTAAATAAACGAGGCAGGACAAAAGGTTTATCGGGGTTTGTTCTTGTTCCTTTCAGGTTTTTGGGAAATGAGAATAACAAGAAAATTATGAAAATCATTCCCATCTCTCTTGGTTATTTGGCATGCCTCTATGGATCTTGTAATGGTGTGGCTGGTTTGTCTGAAAGTGAATGCAAAATATTCTTGAAGGAGAATGAGAAACACAATTGGACGGTTGATCACATATTGCGAGGATTCTGGTGTTTGAAGTGTGACAGAAAAGTTGTAAACAGTTGTGGTGTATACTCTATAATTCTGCATCCACATGACATTCAGCGTATGAATTTTGGTTTGGATTGTGATTATGTACATCTGCAGTCCGTCTTTTTCAAGTTCCTATATGATGAGTCATCAGAAGAGGTTCAAATCGCCTGTGTTGGAATACTTGGTCGGATCCTTGTCCATGGGACTAACGATATTCTGCTTCAAACAAGATCTGAATGGATAGAATGTGTTGACTTCCTACTCCTTCACAGGAAGAAGGCTGTAAGAGAAGCATTCAGCGCACAGATTAGTTTCTTCCTTGAGGAGCCTGTTTTAAATTCTTTGTTTTTTGACGGGGAGGCAACAAATAAAGGCAAAGAAGAGAAGTTTTTGGACAAAATAAAACATGCTCTGGCAGCAACTGGCGACCCTGAGATATTTGAGACTCTTCTTGAAGCCACAGCAGAGATTATGATTGGAGTTAATCTATGCAGTCAGATTTTCTTATTCTCTCTTATTTTATTGGTTGATCAGCTTGATAATCCCCTTGTGACAGTGAGAATGACTGCATCAAGATTGATACATAGGTCTTGCTCTTTCCATTTTAAAGGAGGATTGGAAATAATCCTTTCAAAAGTTGGTCAGATTCGGAATGAACTGTATGATTATCTTTCTGTGAGGCTTGCAGGTCGACCAAAAATGGCCGAAGAGTTTGCAGCAGCTGTTCTTGGTGTTGAAATTGAAGAACTCGCCAGGAGAATGATTCCTGTTGTTCTTCCAAAGCTCGTGATCACTCAACAGGACAATGATCAAGCAGTCGTCACCCTGTATGAATTGGCCAAGTGCCTGAACACAGACATGGTGCAACTGATAGTTAATTTTCTACCAAAAGTGCTTGCTTTTGCTCTCCATCGAGCTAATGGGCGAGAATTGCACTCTGCTTTGCAGTTTTACCATGAGCAGACAGGATCTGACAACCAAGAAATTTTTGCAGCTGCATTACCAGCGCTTCTGGATGAACTTGTATGCTTTATTGATGAAGATGATTCAAATGAAATGAGCAAAAGGTACAGAACTCCATGACAAATTTAAATTTGAAAGTAGTTGACATGAATATTAGTGTGGCTGATTGGCATCTCTGATAAAGTTTGCATACAGGAGTTTGCCTTTTTGTTTGCTTCACAAACTATGCAGTGTCAATAATTGTGTGACAAGCGTGTGTGCATCCACTTGTGCCCTTAGTTGTTTTTGTTTTTATTTGTTGTTTACCTTTTTCTTTGAATTTTTAGTTGCTGACAAATTGGTCATTTGTTTGAAAGCTTTTAGCTCATCAATATCAATTCTTTTTTCGCTCGAGTTGATTGAACTCTTTTTTTTCCTTATGGTCAGTGGAAAACATAATTGATTGACTTGGGCTTCTGAAAATGGATTGCAATGTGGAACATTTCATATCTTAACTGCCGCTATCTTTGGTGTTTAATATTTTACTTACAGGTTGACAAGGGTACCTCAGATGATAAAAGAAGTTGCAAGAATCTTGACTGGTAATGAAGATCTTCCAGTCTTTTTGAGGAATCATTTTGTTGGTCTACTTAACAGCATTGATAGGAAAATGCTCCATACAGATGATACGTCGCTGCAGAAACATGCTATGAAACGCATAGAGATGCTGATCAATATGATGGGTTCTCACCTTTCAACTTATGTCCCAAAACTTATGGTGCTTCTCATGCATGCGATAGGTAAGGAAGCACTTCAGAGTGAGGGGCTTGCTGTCTTGCATATTTTCATTAAGCAATTGGCAAAGGTGTCACCATCTAGCACTAAACATGTGATTTCTCAAGTTTTTGCTGCTCTTGTACCCTTCTTGGAGAGAGAGAACGAGAACGAGAACGAGAACGAGAACGATTCTTTGCAATTGGCTAAAATTGTGGAAATCTTAGAAGAGCTTGTATCTGAGAACAGGCTCATCTTAAAGGAGCACATCCGCGAGTTCCCTCCTTTGCCCAGCATTCCTGCCCTAACAGAAGTGAACAAAGTCATACAGGAAGCANGAACTCTTCTTTGCAATTGGCTAAAATTGTGGAAATCTTAGAAGAGCTTGTATCTGAGAACAGGCTCATCTTAAAGGAGCACATCCGCGAGTTCCCTCCTTTGCCCAGCATTCCTGCCCTAACAGAAGTGAACAAAGTCATACAGGAAGCACGTGGATTAATGACTTTGAAGGATCAACTGCGAGATGTAGTTGAGGGGTTGAACCATGAGAATCTGAATGTTAGGTATACGGTGGCTTGCGAGCTTAGCAAACTGCTGAAGAGAAGAGAAGAAGTCACAGCTGTGGTCACTGGGGAAGGAGATTTAGATATGGATGTCTTGAGCTCTTTAATTACATCCTTGCTTAGAGGGTGTGCAGAAGAATCAAGGACTTCTGTTGGACAGCGGCTAAAGTTGGTTTGTGCTAATTGCCTCGGAGCACTTGGTGCAGTAGATCCTGCCAAAGTAAAAGGGTTTCCTAGCCAGCGGTTCAAAATCGCATGTTCAGATGATGATTTAATTTATGAGTTGATCCATAAGCATCTGGCAAGGGCTTTTAGAGCTGCACCAGACACTATTATCCAAGACTCAGCTGCATTGGCCATACAGGAGCTGCTAAAGATTGCTGGTTGTGAGGCATCACTTGATGAGAATGTTGCGGCTTCTACATCACAGATGCTGAAGGATAGGAAATCTTTGAAAGCCTCAGCATCTGGGGCCAAGAGAGAAGATGACTGCAGTGAAATGACTGGAAGGGGTCAGAGATTGTGGGACCGTTTTTCTAATTATGTCAAAGAGATAATTGCCCCTTGCTTAACCTCAAGATTTCAACTTCCAAATGTAGCAGAATTTGCATCTGCTGGTCCTATCTATCGACCTTCTATGTCGTTTAGAAGATGGATATTCTTCTGGATCAAAAAGCTGATTGTGTACGCTATTGGTTCTCGAGCTAGTATTTTCAATGCTTGCCGAGGTATAGTACGTCATGATATGCAAACTGCAATGTATCTACTGCCTTATTTGGTCTTGAATGCTGTATGCCATGGCACTCAGGAGGCACGTCATGGTATAACAGAGGAGATTTTATCGGTTCTTGAGGCAGCAGCATCAGAGAAAAGCACAGCTACCGTTCAAGGAATCGGCTTCCGGCAAACTGAAGTGTGCATACAAGCTGTGTTCACTCTTCTTGATAATCTTGGCCAATGGGTGGATGATATTGAACAAGAACTTGCTCTTTCCCAATCTCTCCAATCTTCCAGTGCTAAGCAACATGCTTCCAAGTTAAAGGATCATAGCATGAGTTCTTCAGTGGATTCAGACCAAGTGTTTATGCAGTGTAAATATGTTTCAGAACTTTTGGCTGCAATTCCAAAGGTGACCCTTGCTAGGGCATCTTTCAGGTGTCAGGCTTATGCTAGGTCTCTGTTGTACTTTGAGTCTTACGTGCGGGAAAGGTCAGGATCTTTTAACCCAGCAGCTGAGAGGAGTGGCATCTTTGAGGATGGAGATGTTTCTTTCTTAATGGAAATATACAGTGAATTGGATGAGCCTGATGGCTTATCTGGTTTGGCATGTTTACGTAAAACTAATAGTTTACAAGACCAGCTCTTAATAAACAAGAAAGCAGGAAATTGGGCCGAAGTTTTGACTTCTTGTGAGCAGGCTTTACAGATGGAACCCACTTCAATTCAGAGGCATTCAGATGTCCTTAATTGTTTATTAAACATGTGTCATTTGCAGGCCATGGTTACCCATGTTGATGGGTTAATATCTCGGATTCCTCATTACAAAAAAACGTGGTGCACACAAGGAGTTCAGGCAGCATGGAGGCTTGGGAGGTGGGACTTGATGGATGAGTATATCAATGGGGCTGATGAGGAAGGTTTACTCTGTAGCAGCTCTGAGAGCAATGCTTTCTTTGACATGGATGTTTCTAAGATTCTCCAAGCAATGATGAAGAGAGACCAATTTTCTGTTGCTGAGAAAATTGCACTATCGAAACAAGCTTTGATTGCTCCTTTGGCTGCCGCTGGCATGGATTCCTACATGCGGGCTTACCCATTTATCGTAAAACTTCATATGCTACAGGAGCTCGAAGACTTCTACTCTCTCCTTGGTGGAGATTCTTTTTTGGAGAAATCTTTCCATCTTGGCGAATCAGGATTCTCAAAAATGATGGAAAACTGGGAAAGCCGTCTCAGATTTACGCAGCCATCTCTGTGGGCTAGGGAGCCGCTTTTGGCTTTCCGGAGACTGGTTGGTAGTGCCAGTGGTCTTGGTGCTCAAGTTGGGAGCTGCTGGCTACAATATGCCAAATTGTGTCGTTCAGCTGGTCATTATGAGACGGCTAATCGAGCAATTATTGAAGCCAAGGCTTGTGGTGCACCTAATGTTCACATGGAGAAGGCTAAGCTTTTGTGGAACACTAGGCGGCCCGATGGTGCCATTGCAGAACTGCAACAATCTCTACTGAACATGCCTGTGGAGGTTATAGGATCTGCTGCTATATCATCAATTACTAGTCTTTCATTGGTTCCTCTGAACCCACCACCTATACTTTGTGATACCCAAGCTTTGAATGAGAATCGAGATATAGCAAAAACCCTACTTTTATATTCGCGGTGGATCCACTACACTGGGCAAAAGCAGAAGGAAGATGTGATCAGTCTTTATTCAAGGGTAAAAGAACTGCAGCCCAAGTGGGAGAAAGGGTACTTCTATATGGCCAAGTATTGTGATGAAGTGCTTATTGATGCCAGGAAACGGCAAGAAGAGAACATCGAGCTAGGTCCCAGGATGATTTCATCAGCTTCTACTGTTGTTGCTTCAACGAGTTTAAATAATGAGAAATGCTGGTGGTCTTACCTTCCTGACGTACTGTTATTTTATGCAAAGGGGCTTCACAGGGGCCACAAGAATCTCTTTCAAGCCCTTCCCAGGTTGTTAACCTTGTGGTTTGACTTTGGGAGCATTTATGAAAGGAGTGGCTCATTGAATAAAGACATGAAAAATGTTCACGGGAAGGTGTAGTTACTGTTATCCTTGTTTGATCTTTTTATTTTCCACTACATTCAGGTATGTTTCCCTTCAATTATGTATTAATTTATACTGTTTCCTCCTTTTTCCTTTGCAGCTATTAAGCATTATGCGAGGGTGTTCAAAGGATTTGCCAACCTATCAGTGGTTAACAGTCCTGCCTCAATTAGTTTCTAGAATTTGCCACCAAAATGAAGAAATCGTCCGTTTGGTCAAACTCATCATTACCTCTGTTGTCCGACAATACCCGCAGCAAGCCCTTTGGATTATGGCTGCTGTTTCAAAATCGACCGTTCCTTCAAGAAGGGAGGCTGCTTCGGAGATAATTCAAGCTGCACGGAGACGTTCCACTCAGGGAGGTTCCAATGCTTTGATTGTTCAGTTTGCCACCTTGATTGATCATCTGATCAGGTTGTGCTTCCATGCGGGCCAGTCAAAGGGAAAGACAATCAATATCTCAACTGAATTCAGTGCTCTGAAGAGGATGATGCCACTGGAAATTTTAATGCCCACCCAACAATCTCTCACTGTTAATCTACCCACATATGATTCAACTCTGACCGACTCATTTGTGTCTAATATTTTCTCAACCACCGATCTTCCTACAATATCAGGAATAGCAGATGAGGCTGAGATCCTATCATCGCTCCAACGACCAAAAAAAGTAATGCTTCTTGCATTATCAATTTTTTCCGATCGGATTGCTCAATTCTTTTTTTCTTTTACATGTTAATAAATTCACCTCGGGATACTTATCGTATTATTTAATTGATTCCCATTTATAACGAGCCCCACGATGCTACTGGGGAGTATGCCCATGTTTCTTGGTACGCAAAAGAGAGTTAGTATCCCCATTCTCATCTTAGTCATTTATGATTCATAATCTGATTAGATTGTTGCAAACGCCCTGATAAATTTCTATGTTGAATGACTATAAATTGAAATGTGTTGGATTTGGTTGGTCTCTTTTGATGAGTCTGCTGGATCATGGTTCTCATCTGTGTTCTGCTATCTGTTAAACTTCATGTAGTTGACTAAAAATCTACCATCCACATCGGTGTTGTAACAATGGTTTTGCTATTTTGATCTCCAGATTTTTCTTTTGGGCAGTGATGGCATTGAACGTCCCTTCCTCTGCAAACCCAAGGACGATCTTAGGAAAGATGCTCGCATGATGGAATTCAATGCAATGATAAATCGTTTATTATCAAAATGCCCTGAAAGCCGCAGGAGGAAACTTTACCTTCGCACCTTTGCAGTGATTCCACTAACAGAAGACTGTGGTATGGTAGAATGGGTGCCCCACACTCGTGGGTTACGACCAATACTCCAAGACATTTATGTAAGCTGTGGGAAGTTCGATAGACAGAAGACAAATCCCCAGATTAAGCGTATTTATGATCAATGCCAAGGTAAAATGCCAGAAGATGAAATGCTGAAGAACAAAATCCTTCCAATGTTCCCTCCAGCTTTCCACAGATGGTTCTTGAACACATTTTCTGAACCAGCAGCTTGGTTCAGGGCTCGAGTTGCTTATGCTCACACTACTGCAGTTTGGTCAATGGTTGGGCATATTGTGGGCCTTGGAGATCGCCATGGTGAAAACATTCTTTTTGAATCCACGACAGGGGACTGTGTTCATGTCGATTTCAGTTGCTTATTTGACAAGGGCTTGCAGTTGGAGAAACCTGAGCTGGTGCCTTTCAGGCTGACACAGGTAAGAAAAGCAAGAGCATCACAAGTTGTGACCAGATCTCTTGAAACTGAACTCTGGAATTATGCACATTGTTTTGTTAGTATCTGTAGTGGAGCTTTGCAATTCATTCTGTTTTATTTTGAGTTCTCTAATATTCTTGCATTTCTGTTAGCTTTTACTTTCTGAAAGCAGTATCATCCTGGGTCTTGCAGAACATGATAGATGGATTGGGCATTACTGGGTACGAGGGAATCTTCTTGAGGGTCTGCGAGATCACACTTTCAGTACTGAGGGTGCACAGAGAGACTCTCATGAGTGTTCTTGAAACTTTTATCCATGATCCTCTTGTAGAATGGACTAAATCTCACAAGTCCAGTGGGGTGGAAGTTCAGAACCCCCATGCACAGGTTTGAACCTGCATTGTTCTCCTTTGTTTACACATACNCGCTCCAACGACCAAAAAAAGTAATGCTTCTTGCATTATCAATTTTTTCCGATCGGATTGCTCAATTCTTTTTTTCTTTTACATGTTAATAAATTCACCTCGGGATACTTATCGTATTATTTAATTGATTCCCATTTATAACGAGCCCCACGATGCTACTGGGGAGTATGCCCATGTTTCTTGGTACGCAAAAGAGAGTTAGTATCCCCATTCTCATCTTAGTCATTTATGATTCATAATCTGATTAGATTGTTGCAAACGCCCTGATAAATTTCTATGTTGAATGACTATAAATTGAAATGTGTTGGATTTGGTTGGTCTCTTTTGATGAGTCTGCTGGATCACGGTTCTCATCTGTGTTCTGCTATCTGTTAAACTTCATGTAGTTGACTAAAAATCTACCATCCACATCGGTGTTGTAACAATGGTTTTGCTATTTTGATCTCCAGATTTTTCTTTTGGGCAGTGATGGCATTGAACGTCCCTTCCTCTGCAAACCCAAGGACGATCTTAGGAAAGATGCTCGCATGATGGAATTCAATGCAATGATAAATCGTTTATTATCAAAATGCCCTGAAAGCCGCAGGAGGAAACTTTACCTTCGCACCTTTGCAGTGATTCCACTAACAGAAGACTGTGGTATGGTAGAATGGGTGCCCCACACTCGTGGGTTACGACCAATACTCCAAGACATTTATGTAAGCTGTGGGAAGTTCGATAGACAGAAGACAAATCCCCAGATTAAGCGTATTTATGATCAATGCCAAGGTAAAATGCCAGAAGATGAAATGCTGAAGAACAAAATCCTTCCAATGTTCCCTCCAGCTTTCCACAGATGGTTCTTGAACACATTTTCTGAACCAGCAGCTTGGTTCAGGGCTCGAGTTGCTTATGCTCACACTACTGCAGTTTGGTCAATGGTTGGGCATATTGTGGGCCTTGGAGATCGCCATGGTGAAAACATTCTTTTTGAATCCACGACAGGGGACTGTGTTCATGTCGATTTCAGTTGCTTATTTGACAAGGGCTTGCAGTTGGAGAAACCTGAGCTGGTGCCTTTCAGGCTGACACAGGTAAGAAAAGCAAGAGCATCACAAGTTGTGACCAGATCTCTTGAAACTGAACTCTGGAATTATGCACATTGTTTTGTTAGTATCTGTAGTGGAGCTTTGCAATTCATTCTGTTTTATTTTGAGTTCTCTAATATTCTTGCATTTCTGTTAGCTTTTACTTTCTGAAAGCAGTATCATCCTGGGTCTTGCAGAACATGATAGATGGATTGGGCATTACTGGGTACGAGGGAATCTTCTTGAGGGTCTGCGAGATCACACTTTCAGTACTGAGGGTGCACAGAGAGACTCTCATGAGTGTTCTTGAAACTTTTATCCATGATCCTCTTGTAGAATGGACTAAATCTCACAAGTCCAGTGGGGTGGAAGTTCAGAACCCCCATGCACAGGTTTGAACCTGCATTGTTCTCCTTTGTTTACACATACAGGTTAATCACCTCGATCGACTAGAAGTTCAAGGATAATTTATTGTGTTTAGCAAAACAATTCAGAAATGACCTTAATTTAATAATGGGGAGTTGAAAAGCATATGGAGGAGTGCTTTGCTAGTTGCTACTGCTCAATATAAAATGAACAAATTACAATGAGAGTGAGACCCCTTCTGACATCCCTCGTTATTTTTGAAATCACACTGACACCCCTTCTTAGTGTTGGGTGATGGCCGTTAATGGAACTATTGTTTCCCAGGTTAGCCCTCATCTTAAACCAGACAAAAGAATAAAGCCTGCCTAAATCAAACTTTGTTACCAAACATCCCCTACGCTATAGTTAGACAACACATCACTGTTGCCAAACACCCCTAATCTCTTAAAACCCACCATGCCATGCTATGGTTTTGGGATTTGGCTCGGCCTGTCAAAAAAAACCAGCACCCCCAATAAAAAAAAAGACTTAGATTTGGTTTTCTTTCTCCACTTTCTATAATCATGGTATGTGCATGTGCGTGTTTGGTGCTGTTTAGTGGTGGGGCACCATATTGGTGGTTGCAGTGGTGATGAATGGGCTGTTGCATTCAGTACTGAAATAATGGTTGATTTGGGTCTTTTATTGGATGTATTTGGTGATGGGATTTTGAGACTGATTTTTTTAGAGGTTTGGTGGTAAATTGGGTGTTGACTTGGGTGATTTGTTGGTAGGGTTGGATGTGATGAAGGGGCGGTGGTGAGGGTGGTGGAGATGGAGTGCTGCTTCAGCTTTCCTTTTATTACTGGTCTTTTTATGTATAACTCTATTAAGTTTTTACTCTTGTTTCAGCATTCTATTTTACTTTTTTTTTCACATACCTTTTTGGTCTTGACATTTGAGAGTAACTTACTGAAATAAGACACTTGAGAGTAGATTTGACCAAGGGTGGAATGGGTTTTGATAAAAATATAAAATGATGCCAACCAATTCCGTTGTGGACTGTGATTGTTGACTAACGGAAGGGGGAATTAGTTACGAACTGTGGCGTCTGTATATTTTCATAACCAACGGGCGGTCAGTGAAACTATTAGAAACTGAAAGGGTTCTTTGTTTAATTTGCCGTAAAAATTGTGTCTTCTGTATTTCTACGGCTTACCAACATTACCTTATGTGGAAATTGGAAAATGCATTCAAATGGCAAGAAATATAGGTGATGGCTCGAATAAGTGAAATATAATTGCCTCCTAAATGACTCTAGACAGTTGGTTTTCCTTCCCTTCAGTTGTTTTAAAGCTGGATTTAATTTACTTTCTTTCTAGCTTTGGTTTAAAGAGAGATCCTGGGGCATACTTTTAAATATATACCTTCTAAAGACTGCCCTGTTTGAAATTGCAGCGAGCCATTAATAATATTGAAGCGCGGTTGCAAGGAGTTGTTGTTGGTGTTGGTGCAGCACCATCGTTGCCACTTGCTGTAGAAGGGCAGGCTCGTCGCTTGATTGCTGAAGCCGTTTCACATAAAAACCTTGGAAAGATGTATATATGGTGGATGCCTTGGTTTTAAGGATTACATAAGGGCTAGGTATTCTATGCCACTCATCTCTCTTTCTGTCCGATGTTCATGTATTTTACTGATGGCCTTGTAAATTGTACTGCACCAATTTATACGACTTGTTAGGTTTATTTTTAGTTTACACATGGTCTTCCGGGATGTTTTATGTACGGCTCTTCTTAGTGTAATGTCTGTGTTGATGTGCACAGAGCAAATGCCTGCATGTGAGTGCACCTAGATGTGTGTTAAGAGTGCTGATTAGCGGGTAAAAATGGACGAGTTTTGCCACAACTAAAACCAAGTTGAGGACCGGCTTAATTTGTAGTTCGATTCGTGGTCATCTGGGTAGTTTATTTCAACTTACCACGCTCTATATTGCTTATAAATGTCAGGATACATGAAAAACTTTTGAATTCTAATTTTATCTTCACTTATTTTTATAAAGTCAATCACATCCTTCTTATCCTTTCATCTTCTTTTAAAATTATATTGATTGCATGTATTAAGTTAATTAGCATTGTGAGCAGTAATTCTCATTGCCCTAAGCCGCTTTAAGTGAACAAAATGACACTTCGTCAAAACTGAAAACCTAAACACTCTTGTAACCCTCTCTCTCCCTACAAGTCCTCCTTTGGACTTATCAACTCTCACGTCTCCTCTCTCTATCGGCTATGGCAGTGGTGGTGGTAAACCCAAAGAAAAAGGGTTTGTGCAGCTTGGTTGGCTGATGCTCACGAGTTTGTCTATGTTAAGCAGCATTTTGCATAACGCTGCCCAAAGATTGTTATTGTTCATATTTTTTAGAAATTCATTTGGGTTATCGGTTGGGTAATTTTGCCCGAAAAGTAGCAAGTTTGATTGAATGATAATTTCGAGAACTTATAGACTGTTTTGGGCTTTGCAGGTTCATATATGTATTTATTACTACTGGTGTAGTTCTACTCGTCATATCTTGTTTTGGTTGCATTGGAACATCAATGCGTAATAGATGCTGCCTGAGGTCTGTATCCTGACTGCTTGTTTATTCCACAGTTGAATGTAAACATCAAATTGAACTCTGGGGTCAATATGATCTAATGTTATGTGGAATGAGAGGCCTACAGATCAATTATGGTGTGACAGTAATAGTATCATGTGGCATCATCATTGTACATTTTATTGTTGGCACAATTTTTACTCTTTTTTCCGTATCACTGGAACTATGATATCATTGCCTGAATACCTATAAATGATGTTATTTACTTTATATCCGTCAAGTGTTCTCTACTGATGGTTATGTGATATGACATCCTTCAAGATTATCTCTTTGCTTTGTGGCATCATAAGCATGCGTTCTCTTTTACTTTGTCTTTTTTTCTTATTCTTCTTGTCTAAGGATGATTAGATTCCTTAAGCTGATGCAGTATTCAGTATTGGTGATCTTGTCGATCGTGATATAATTGAAATGTGCAGTGTTCATATTTTTTGACAAAAGCTGGAAATTTGCGAGTATTTTACAATAATCTGATTAGTTTCATTTATGCTTTTTTTCAGGATATCCCAACTGACAGAACTGGAGACTGTGATATGATACATGACTTTTTGGAAGAGAACTGGAAAATTGTGAAATGGGTGCGCTCTTGGGGCTGTTGTTTTGGACGTAAGTATAACCGGATATCTTTCAAATGTGAGGACTTTTGGTTATTATATATTATATTTGAAACAGAGTTGCAGAAGCCATAAAGTGGGAGCAGTACTTTCTATCGTAAGTTCAATGCTAGGCATGTTACATCTCCAATCTGTGGTCACTTACAGTATGAGAATCATGCTTTAGTCCCTACATCAACATTATAAGGTGAGAGCAGTACTTTCTATCGTAAGTTCAATGCTAGGCATGTTACATCTCCAATCTGTGGTCACTTACAGTATGAGAATCATGCTTTAGTCCCTACATCAACATTATAAAGTGAGAGCAGTACTTTCTATCGTAAGTTCAATGCTAGGCATGTTACATCTCCAATCTGTGGTCACTTACAGTATGAGAATCATGCTTTAGTCCCTACATCAACATTATAAAGTGAGAGCAGTACTTTCTATCGTAAGTTCAATGCTAGGCATGTTACATCTCCAATCTGTGGTCACTTACAGTATGAGAATCATGCTTTAGTCCCTACATCAACATTATAAAGTGAGAGCAGTACTTTCTATCGTAAGTTCAATGCTAGGCATGTTACATCTCCAATCTGTGGTCACTTACAGTATGAGAATCATGCTTTAGTCCCTACATCAACATTATAAAGTGAGAGCAGTACTTTCTATCGTAAGTTCAATGCTAGGCATGTTACATCTCCAATCTGTGGTCACTTACAGTATGAGAATCATGCTTTAGTCCCTACATCAACATTATAAAGTGAGAGCAGTACTTTCTATCGTAAGTTCAATGCTAGGCATGTTACATCTCCAATCTGTGGTCACTTACAGTATGAGAATCATGCTTTAGTCCCTTCATCAACATTATAAGTGAAAGAACTTTATAAGTAAACTTGAATTGGCAATGGTTTGGTTATTTGGGAAGAAAAGAGTATTGAGGAGGAAATTATTAAGTACTTTAAAGATCTTTATTTTGCTCAAGGGGGTCGAGGTTGAATTTTTTAGGGTTGGAGTGGACTCCTTTTAGGGTTGATAAATCTAGGTGGTTGGAGAGACTTTTTGAGGAGAAAGGATAAAAGATGTTGTTCAGTTTCTAGAGATAAATCTCCTGGGATGGATCAATTTTCTGACTTTGTTCCAAGATTGTTGGGGGGTAGGTAAAGATGATTTGATGAAAGTTTTTAGGGAGTTTAAAAGAATGGTGTGGTGAATGTGAACACAAATGCAACTTTCATTTTTTTTTTTGATTTCTAAGAAGCATAATTCATTGAGATTTGGGGATTTTTAGACCAATAAGCTTATATTAATTATCTATGAGATGTATGTGGTGGAAGGAGTTGGGAAGATGAGGTGGCTAAATTTGTTTTCTGGCAGAGATTTGGAAGTAGGCTACTATTTGTGCAGCTATTGATCTAACTGATGGGTATGCATGGAAGTTGTTGTTTAATGGGTCCTTGGAGATGTACATTTTCTTCTTTGTTATGCTTCTTTTGTGGTGCAACTTGTATAATCATAGTAGTAGTCACTTTTCTTGCTTGTTCTTCTGTGTGCGTTTATATCTTTTTCATGTAAATACATTTTTGATTTGTTATGAATAATGTGTTTTTATCTTTATCATAGTAGTTAGTTGAATTTGAGTGATTGTGGTGTATTTTTATGTTCTCAACTCAGTCAAATAGTTTTAGTACTAGGTTTATTACGGCGGAAGTTAATTTGAANTTTTTAGGGAGTTTAAAAGAATGGTGTGGTGAATGTGAACACAAATGCAACTTTCATTTTTTTTTTTGATTTCTAAGAAGCATAATTCATTGAGATTTGGGGATTTTTTGACCAATAAGCTTATATTAATTATCTATGAGATGTATGTGGTGGAAGGAGTTGGGAAGACAAGGTGGCTAAATTTGTTTTCTGGCAGAGATTTGGAAGTAGGCTACTATTTGTGCAGCTATTGATCTAACTGATGGGTATGCATGGAAGTTGTTGTTTAATGGGTCCTTGGAGATGTACATTTTCTTCTTTGTTATGCTTCTTTTGTGGTGCAACTTGTATAATCATAGTAGTAGTCACTTTTCTTGCTTGTTCTTCTGTGTGCGTTTATATCTTTTTCATGTAAATACATTTTTGATTTGTTATGAATAATGTGTTTTTATCTTTATCATAGTAGTTAGTTGAATTTGAGTGATTGTGGTGTATTTTTATGTTCTCAACTCAGTCAAATAGTTTTAGTACTAGGTTTATTACGGCGGAAGTTAATTTGATTTTTTTTTCAGTATGTAAGTTAATTTCAATTTTAGTGATTGTGGTGTTGTACATGTATAGATTCTTTTCNATTTTTTTTCAAAATGTAAGTTAATTTCAATTTTAGTGATTGTGGTGTTGTACATGTATAGATTCTTTTCTAGTGTTTGTCGTGTTTTCTATATGGACTTTTTACACGCACCCCAAAAGATGTTAAAATTTCTACTTTGCACCCTAAAAGATTATTTTTTTCACATTGCACCCTAAAAGATTATTTTTCCCACATTGCAGCCTCATTATTCTAAATTGGTTGCAATGTGGCCCCTCAGACCAACTGTCGTCTCTTTTCCTGTTAATCTCGCTGCACATACAAAACATGTTTTGCCCATAGGCAAAACTGTAAAAACACATAATGTGGCAGTCTTCTCAGTTGTAAAAGCACACAATGTAAAAACAAATAATCACTGGAGAAAAATACACGACAGTCTTCTCACCGTTGATGAATTTGATGGCTTTGAACGATGGGTGTTCAAATGTTCGAATCAAAACGAAATCGATCTCATGTTTGATTTTGAGTTCATGTGCAAATTGGATTAGGTTTTCTCTGATCAATCATGATTGAATTGTGTACTCTTTACGAACTAAAGCTGTGATCCGAAGAGTAGGTGGGTTAGATTTTTGAGACTCGACTTTATCCGCGATCTCTTTCACGAAGGAGGCCTAGTGGCCTCCAATTCCGATGTCGAAGTGGATGACATGGACGACAGTTGAGCCGTCGACGGTTTCGAGGATGGCTTGGTTGGAGGTGAAGCTGGGGAACATGGGGATAAGAGACATGTTGCAGAAGGTTTTGTAGGCTTTAATGGTTTGGACGATTTCAGAGGTAGTGGTAGGGCGAGTTGACCTGATGAGGAGAGACTGGAGAGCTTATTTGAAGTAGAAAGTAACTCAATGGACGGATTTTTTGGTGGATGATTGGAGGCGTTGATTGAGCGAGCAATGAAGATCATTTGAGAGGTCAACAATGTTTGAATTGTGGTTTAATGGTGGTTATGAGCCGCCATCGGAGAGATTGAAATCGGAGGGAATAAACTGAGTTATATCAAAAGAGTGAGGTTGGGCAAACTCGGGAAGAGCTCCTTGATACTAAGTCTTGCAGTGAGTGAGTTGCGGATTCAATTTCAAACTAGGGGTTGAATCATCACGGAGATCCAATTCTTTCATCAAAGAGTCCCGGTCCAACAAGTGGCTCAGAACATTATGTATTTTTATAGTTTTGCCCATGGGCAAAACATGTGCTTCGCATGTGCAGCGAGATTTAATGGGAAGAAAGGCGACAATTGGTCTGAGGGGTCACAATACAACCAATTCAGAACATTTAGGGTGCAAAGTGAAAATGTTAACATCTTTCGGGGTACAAAATGTAAAAATCCCTTATCTTTTTCTTCTCCACCTCCTTATTCTTTCTCTTTCTGATCTTACTTCTGCTTCTTTTGCTCCTCCTCTTACTTTTCCTTTTGCTCCTACTTTTCCTTTTCTTCCTTCGGCTTCCTATCTTCTTCTTCTTCTTCTTGTCTTACTCCCCTTTTTGCTTCTTCTTACTGACTTCTCTCCCTCTCTTTTTCTTTTTTTCTTTCTCTTGCTTTTTCTTCTCCTTCTCCTTCTCCTTCTCGTCCTCCTTTTTCGCCTTCTTCTCGTTTTTGTTGTTGTTCTTCTTNTCTGGTTCTTCTCCTTCTCGTCCTCCTTTTTCGCCTTCTTCTCGTTTTTGTTGTTGTTCTTCTTCTTCTCCATCTACTAAAGCAAATGAAGGATAAATTGCATATATCAGATGGAAATTTTGGTGAAACTAATAATGATATATCATGAAGTGCTAAAATTTGGAGCAAACTTTGTCATTAATCATTAACTCTATGTAGACGAAAGAGTTTTTGAGAACAACAAACCATAACATATTTTGCTCTTGTTTCTTATATTTCTCTCTAAATAGATATCCCATAACCATTAAAAACAAGAACATGTAGATAAAGCCAAATGATTAGTATATTACCTAAACGGTAAGGTTATTAAAGTGTTATTCTTGTTAAGTCTCAAGTCATTTAATAATGTTCGTCGTGCAATATTTTCTCTTCTGGTTTTTCTTATATGCTGTGATTGTGTGAGGTTTCATCCAACTCCCCGTTTGTAGTCAGAGTTTTTTCTGTTGTTTCTAAATAATATTTATTCCATTTTTTAGTTGATTAGGTATTATGATATTGATGTATGTCTAACTAATATTTATTTTCGATTTATTACATGGTCAATTGATATTGTTATTTTTTCCATTTCCCAATGCCTTCAAATAAAACTTTGGTAGTGGAGTTTGAGAGATGGATCAATTGGACAAACTCATAATGCTTAGTAGATCATAAGAGGAGTTATACTTTCATGATATGTATGATTGTGATTTTTGTTAATAATGATGAGCAAATTTGTAGATGTCTCTTGCTTGTTTTAGAGTACTTTGTGTATTTAAATGTTGTATGTATTATGTAAGTATGTGGTGCATGCAATGTAGTATGCATATATATCTGCTTGTTGAATTAGTGAGTGTACATGTCACTCGTTTTTTGTTCTTTCTTTTTCTTATTGCTCTTTGTTATCCTTAAGGTATTTTTCATTTTTTTTTATAAATAACTAATTTAATGTAACTTCCTTTTAGTTGATTGTGGAAAGGATACTAGCTTATGAAGGAATAAAGAGGGTTGAACCGGGTAGAGATGAGTTTACAAAGTGAGTTTGGGAGTAGAAAGATAAGTATATCTGCTTGTCCCACTTCCATTAACTTTATTTTTCATGCAAAATGTGTTTTACAGATGATTATTTCTATTTCATTTTTGTATTTCTTACTTGTTATAATCATTCTTGTATTACTTCCAATCCCCAACACTCTCATTAGCCTACAATTTCCTTTTCATTTTTCATTGTTATTTTTGTGTTGTAAACAATCAATAATTGCATGGTATTTCTTTCCTTATATGTGTTTGTGTTTGCCCTTTTATTAGATAAATTATGTTTTATTATCTTCCCATTAAAGTTGTTAAATGTTGGCAACAAAATCTAATTACTTGGGAAGGGAGCAAAATGTTAAAGCTTGCAAGAAGTTTGTAGCACGTAGAAAGCTACTAATGGAATTAGGAATTCAAATAATAGGAGTATACCGATTTTGCGATCGAAGTTTTAGTTCTTCTTATAATTGTTTCTAATTGGGATGTATTTCGCAGACTCAGGAATCTATTCTATTATATGTGGCAGATAACTTTCATAGAACGTGAAATATTGTGTCTTCAAATTAATTATTATTATAGCGTTGCACTAGATAACTAAGTATGATACTTACCTGATAGAATTTTTTACCCGAAAGAATTCTATGTGTTTGAGAATACAACAATTTCATGTCTGAAGGTTGCCTTTTTCTTTTCGGTGCTAGAATCCCTCATTCTCTCTCTTTCTGTCCTTTGTGAAGGTTTGTAATAGAGGTGCAAAGGTGTTATTTTTTGTTTAATATCTGAGGACTACAACAGTTGCATGACCAAAGGCTGCCTTTTTTCTTCCCATTTTCCTCCTCTTTTTGCTTCTTTTATTCTTGCTCCTCTTCCTTCTGCATTTTCTTTTGGGCTTTTCACATGTTACACCCTGAAAGATGTTAAAATTTTCACTTTGTGTACCCTAAAAAATATGGAGAATCTGAATACAGAATGAATACAATGTTATTGTATTACAATCTCCGACGTGTTATGATTGGTATATTCAGTATGTCATGTTCCTTTACATATGTTGTCTGTTACCTTCTTTTTGGCCGCCCCTGGGGGATTTTTATCAGGTTGTCCATTGACGCATGTTCTTTCTGTATACCATGGTGCATTGATTTGTGACTAAAACATTTTGAGTTGCTATGCAGAAGAAGCAGTCTTGGCCAAATCAATGTCCATTATCTCCCGATCATTTGAGGATCAAAAGTGAACCCGAGTATATGACAATCCTTAGTGATGGCACTGATGTCTGGGAAATCAATCCTCAATATTTGGTACTTGAGAGCAAAATTGCATCTAGGTCATATGGTGACTTGTAAGTTTATAATATTCTAGGCACATTTTATTACTGCATTATGAACATTAATCAGTACATGTGCATCCATGTCCCAATCAATACTTAAAACCTTGTTTCATTGATGTCATTAGATACCACTCAAGCAGACAGCTGTTGGTCCGTTATGGGTGTTCAGTTAACTGTGTCTTTTGTTTGTTTCAGATACAAGAGTACGTACCGTATGCTGGAAGTAGCCATCAAATTCCTGTAGTCTGATTGTGTAAGTTCAGACATGCAAAGAGAGTTTGCACAAGAAGTGTATATTATGAGGTTTGTTGAATTCTATCGCTGTTGCCTTGAGCTGCACTATCTGCGTTAGTTATAGCCTTCGAAGGATCTATTCAACCTACATCTGCTGTCCGAATGTTGTTTTGTCATCGTGTTAATCAATGCATTTTACTTTTTAGTTATTCATTTGTTCATTTTGTGTCTGTACCAATGCAAAATGAATGGTGTGGTGTAGAAGGGAGGGCCTACAATCGTGAGGTTAAATGCAAAAAGGTTAGGTCTATATAACTGACTACTCCTCCCCGGACCGTTGAATCATGAGAACAAAAATGGGTAATGTTGGCAGTACCTAGATGTTTGCAGTGAATTTGCTTTTCATGAAACCAGAGAGAGAGTTGCTTCTAATTTTCATTCCTAATTCTTATTTCATGTCTATTATGTGTCAACACCCCCAAACAAAAAAAAAAAGCACTATATGTACTCATGCTCTCTCTCTCTCTCTCTCCCTGTTTGCGAGTGTCTTTTTTTTTGGTATCTAGTCCATGGTTCTTTGTGTGCTCCCCCAAAGCAAGGCAAGAAAAGAAAGGAGTAGGCTGGAGCTTCTCGCTTTTTGTAGCCAGATCTTGCTCCTCTGTTTTCACTTGCACGCTGCATGCATCGGCACCTCACCACCCTTCAAAGACAGATACATCAAATATGGGTCCAGTTCTACCACCTTCCTAGGGAAGGTATACCGGGATCTTGCCCCTTGTACTTGGCAGGATTTTAATTATCTCTCTCTCATCCAATTGTCATGCAAATTGGATGTTCTTAAAAATCCTCCATGGGAAAAAATAGTGCGGGCTCAGTTCCATTGGTTTCTCTAAGTAGTTCTTTGAGGCCTTAATTTTGGGCCTGTAGTTCAACGGTTGAGCTTTTGCTCATTAGAAACATATATCTCGACTCAAGTGACTCCTTTTCAGCCTTTGCAGGAAAGTTCAACACAAGAATGTTGTACAATTTGTAGGTGCTTGTACCAAACCTCCAAGTTTGTGTATTGTAACAGGTAAATTTCCATTATCTTACCGATGACTCTGGTGATGCACACATGAAGAGTTGTTGCTTTAGGATTTTACATTGTTTCTTGTGGATACGTTTCTGTTATGGTTAGCTTGATTCCAACTTGCATATTGTCTTCCCCCCCTTATTTTTTTGTTCCTGAATATATGTCTGGTGGAAGTGTGTATGACTATCTACACAAGCAAAAGGGTACTTTTAGGCTTCTATCTTTACTAAAAGTAGCAATCGATATATCAAAGAGAATAAACTACTTGCACCAGAATAATATAATCCACAGGGACTTGAAGGCTGCGAATCTTCTGATGGATGAAAATGAAGTATGATGTTCTTTCTTTCTGTTACTATAATGCCAAGAATATCTTATCTTTATAATCCTGTATTTATGTGTTGGACTATTAATTTGTCATATCTTATATTTCATTTGCCTCAATTTCTACATGGGAGAGTTTACTATATATCAGTAAAATAGTATGAAAAATTTGAGGCTTTCAACCCCAAAAGTACATGAATACCCCCCACCCCCCGGGTCCGTCCCCAAGGAAAAAAAAAGACGTCCCAGTAAGTATGAATTTTTAATGTTAGTTGGAGGACAAATACGTATCAGTTTGGGATATTTGAATGGTTTTACATCTCTTCTCTTCCTTTCTTCTTGAAATTAAGGAATACTTATTGATATTGATCAAATATAATGCTATTAAAATTTATTTGTTGTATCGTGTGTCTCTGAAATTATGAACATTAAAGGATGCCTTACACAATGCATGCCATGTATGAATGCATAACCTTTGGCTCCCTTGGTACATGTATCTCTCCTCAAAATTATCTTGCTGATTACAATTTGCATGCCATGTATCAATGCATAACCTTTGCCTCCCTTGGTACATGTATCTTTTTTTATTTTTTACTTTTTATTTTTGGGAGTGGGAGGGGGGGAGGGGGAAAGGGGGTTTGAACCCTTGACTTCACGAGGATAAAACCTTTATAAGGTAAGGAGTACTATTGGACCAAAGACACATTGGTATTGGTACATGTATCTCTCAAAATTATCTAGCTGAATCTTGCCTTTTTTTGCTCAAGAAATTGAAGTATTCCAGCTAGAAATGTATGTGGACTAGGTGTAAAGTACGTTCAGAAAACTTCTCTTTCCTTAACATTGAATTTGCTGGTTTTTGTAATCCATATATGCTGTATATCTTCATATGGTATTTCAAGTTCAAGTGAGCTCATGTCATTGAGGCCTGTGACTCGAGTTTGGTGAAGATGTTGAGATGTAACTTCAGCATGTCTAAAAGATTTTAATCATGTTGTGCACTTTAGGTAGTTAAGGTGGCTGATTTTAGAGTTGCCTGAGTGAAGCTCAGACAGGATATGACGGCAGAAACTAGGACATATTGATGGACAAGCAATCGTTCGTGCTTGAAGTTACTATGCAAAAAAAAAAAATTCACAATTAATTGGTTGTGCCAGTAGCACTATATAACTCAAAAAAATGTCTAGTCTAAATAATATCTAAGCTGCCACCGCCACCAAACTCTTCTATTTCTTAAACATTCCTTCTAACATTACTGAGTTATGACCATAACTCATCACTTCCAACCCTTCCTAACAAAAATCATGACTAAAAAAAGAAAATCACAACCAATAGCAAAACTTATAAGCTTTATAGGGAAAGCAAAGTAATGTAAAATTAATCACTTATTACAGATTCTAACAAAACAACTCAAATTTTCAAAAAAAAAAAATTGTCATAGACAACCATTACCACCAACCTACCACCACAACCTTCACCTATAAAAATTTGTTTGGAAATTTAGATAAACTTTTATAATTTTACTACCATAAAATTAAACAATGACACGTAGAAAATCATAAATAGAAATTTGAAGACAATAAATAGAGTAGTGTGAAAGAGAGAGCTAATACTTCTCTTTTTGTGCCCTTAATGGTATTCTCTTCAATTGATTAATTTGTTTACCCTGTGAAAATGGGTGGGGAGATGTTAGAGTAACTCAGTTCCCATAACTATAATAAAACACACGCTATAACATAAAAACACTCATTTCGTCATTCATCAATCAACTATTGCCCATGACCCCGACAACAAAAAGAAAGGAAAATTAAAAAAGAAGGAAAAAATAAAATGGAAAACCAATAGTTAGATCTTCCATAAATTCATCTATTTATTACTCACAAAAATCAAAAAATGTGAAAGGTAAGCAAGATAGTCCATTCACTATAGACCAATACTACGATTACAACATTGCTAGAATGCACAAATAAGGACTTCTCGGCTATTAAAAATAGAACAATCACAACCAGTTTCAACTAATAGACTCAAAAGCAACAAACTGAAAATGTAGCCTAAAATTGTTTCATTGATACATTTTACAAGGTGGAGATATGTATGATGTATCTATGGCTAATCAATGAACAATGGTAGATATGTATCTACGGTCCATCAATGAACAATAGTATGATTCTTTTAAATACTCTCTAGTGAGCTTTTTCCTTTGTGAAACAAAATCTCTCTTTGTCTATATCTCGTAAAATATGACTTTTTTTTTCTCTTCCTAAAACATAGCCCAATGAAACCAATAATCACTTGACTTTGAAAATTTAGACTTACGGAAAAAAAAGAAATAATCACTTAATTTTGTATTACATAGTCAGAGTCACAGACCCAAGAAACTTATTTAATTGAATGGAAATAGTGTTGCAAATAATGAAGAACTACCTTTTCTTCTGTTTACTTGCGGATGACAGTACCATTGTTTTTCATCCTCTCAAAAAATTCTGCCTTCTTTTCCAATTTCTCCGGTCCATCATGCATAGATAGTGTCAAAATAAAATCATATCCAATATTAAGGTCTTTTATATTTCATTATCCGTTGCTAGAAAATAAAAGAAGATTTATTACCTCAATTTGTTTTAGCTCAACCTCTGTAGTTACTTTCTTGCTATTCTTCCATGCTCCAATGGTAGATAATTTGTGTGAGCTCTGTTCAAGATTTTCAAATTGTTAGAATTACTAACATCCATGTAAGTCTTTCTAATTCCATACTTTATTCTTTTAACCCTATACATTTCTTGTAGCAAATCAATCATAAAACCAAAGAGATTCAATAACAATGGTAAGAAAGGGAAAAAATCAAATAATCGTTGAAACCCAAAAACAATCAATCATAATTTTATTTATTTCTCGAGTATTCAGGTTAGGGTTGTGAGAGAAAGTGAGAGAGAGAGGGGGTAGGGGTTGTGGGGGTGGTGTATAGGCGTTGATGGTGGTTCGCTAGACATAGAGGAAAAGTTAGAGAGGCTGAGAGAAAAGACAAAGAGTTACCCAAGAGGGATGGTGTTGTCACCAGGTGGCAGTGTTCGATGGTGTTGCTGGCTATGTTCGATGGCCGGTTGCTGGCACGATTGGTGGTGTTCTATGTCTCGGTGGCATTGTTGGCTAGCTTTTGTCGTTGGCGGAAGGATACAGAGATAGGAGATTGGGGGAGAAAGAAAAATGGAGAAAGAGGGCGCCGATGGATAGAGAAGAGGGATAGGGAGAGAAAAAGAGAAGAGGGAGGTGAGAGAGATTAAGGGCGTACATATATGATCAAAAAAGTGATAAAGGGGATTCAAAATTGAATTGGTAGAATTAGATTTTTGGGAGGGAATTTGGTGCTTTGGATTAAAAATTTTGAAATGATCTGAGTGGTTAGGGGTTAATTTTAGGCGTGATTGAGGTAGCCAAAATGGAAAGTTTTAGGTGGGAAAAAATATTTTAACACTCATTTTGATTCATTGGATTAGTAATTTTAAGATGATTTGAACCATCTTTTATGTTGAGATTATGTCTTCTCTTGGATGTTTCTTAGTTTTGTCTTGAAACAATCTAGACCTCTAGTTGTTTCTAAAATTCAAAACTCTTTGTTCTTTATTATATAGATAGATAGATAGATCGATATATAGAGAGAGAGTATGAGATAGAGAGAGTTATATGCGAGATGGGAGAATGTGTTTAAAACGTGAGAGAGAGAGGGGCCAATCAACGAACCTATAGTTTGTTAGAAATAATCCTTGTTAATTATACTATTTTTTTGTTAGAGATTCATGTACTTAGAATTTTAATGGGTTTAGGATAAAGAGAGAGAGAGTATGAGATTGATAGATAGAAGAGTTATATGAGAGCTGAGAGTGTGTTTAAAACGTGTGAGAGATAGGGGAGAGAGAGAGAGTCCAATTAGGATCGACAGAGTTAGGATCATATAGAGATAGATTGGATAAATAAAAATAGACTTCATTCTGTTTAGGATACAGAGAAACATGTGAGAGGGAGAGTCATTAAGTTTGAAAACACTGTCCTACTGCCTTTTGTAGAGTGTATGGGCGGAAATTATTTTAGAGAAAGCTTTGGGTTCGTTGGATTAACAATCTGAGACGTTTGAACGATTT